TTTTACACCATCTTCGTAAATGAGGAAACACGAAGCCCCAAACCCTCCAAGAAATGACCTAGGCAGATAAATTAATTCCCGTGGAATTAAAGGACTGTTATCGTTATTAATGTTTTTACCGTTACTTTAATATAGCCCTCGGTCGACATTACTACAAGCCTTTTGGGAGCCCAAACGACAGTAGGAGTGGGCTATGTTACGGTACTGCCAACGCCAGTTTCTATGTTATATTTTTGAAATATAGAATTATATCCATTGCAAGAGTACAAATGAAGCTGATTATTAACAGTGTGGTTTAGTAATGAGTTGCTGGAAATATACTGTGCCGTTGACAGCAATTCGGACTAAAGGGGAGTAACTCCTTGCTCAGATTAAAGTAAAGATCCACACACCTAGGTATTAAAAACTAGTAATGCAAGTAAATGGGTTTGGAAACTCAGGATATGGTGTGTAAGTTGGTGCAATCTGAGTTATTTTATACCACATCAGATGTTCCAATAGCCAACATCAGTCTACTAGTAAGTGCAAGGGGACAATTCCAAATTACCGCCGATATGAAGAAGTCCTATACATTCAATGGAGAAGACAGAAAAAACTAACGCAAATGAAGCAGACACTACTCAAGACCGAGAGATCCCGTCTACTTGCAGATCCGCTTCTCCAACGGCCTGGTTACCTCCATTCGAGGCGCGCAATCGCGAAAAACCGGGAATACCATCCTACCCCCCCCCCCCGTCATTCTGAATATCGGAACGAAAAGGCGTAAAATACACAAGACATATAATAATGATAACGATGATTGCTTTGATCGAAATATAATTTCCACACCTTATAATTTGTAACACTTTCAATCATGTTGGAATGAAAATAATTATAGTTTTTATTAATCGTTTATTGAAAATAAGGGGGAATAACTCTTCAAGCATAACTTGGTTTTAGACGAGTTATTACTTCCCGATACGTAGTTTCCCTATTTATAGGGAGCCACGGTGGATCAGTGAGTAAAACGTTGGCTCGCTAACCTGGAGGTCCTGTATTCGATCCCTGCGTTGGCCGAGAAAGTTCATCGAGATTTTCCGACGTGGTTCCCCCTTGTCAGTGGTACAGTACCGATGCCCTGGCAAGGGACAACGTATAGTCGTTGGTATGGGACTAAAAACCGAGGTTCCGTGTTCACATTGACGTGCACATAAAAGATCCCTTCGCCGTAGTGCCGCTGTCCGGGCAAAATTTCACTTATAGCGCATTGTACGGCGTATGTCTGTCTTCATTAGCCCAGTAGGACGTTAAAGGATAATACTGGACGGCGGCACTACGGCCTACTCTTATATCGAATTCCAACTGTCAAGGGATCTTTTACGTGCACGCCAATGTGTACACGCGACCTCGGTTTTTCGTATCATCCGAATGACTAGACAGCTGTCCTTGTCAGGCCCTCCGTCCTGCATCACTGACAAGGGGGAACCACTCCGGAAAATCTGAGTGAACTTTCTCGGCCAATATACGGGTATCTAACACTCGACCTCCAGTCTTACCCACTTATCCACCGTGACCTCCATTATAATAAGAGAATAGGCTGTGTATGTTAATATGATCTAATAAACTAGTGTATATCATGATGACTAAAACATCCTATTTGTACATTCTACATCCTTGTTAGTTTCTAATAAACTATATATACCGTTACAAATTCTACATCCTTGTTAGTTAAAGGGGCCAAGTCTTTAACTCATTATCATCCACAGTCTTCGAAACTCTAAGCACGACTTAATGGTCAATGATGTTGTTATCTTACCGTGAAAAGGTGAGCTTCTGATATCCAATATTTAAGACAAAATGAAAATTTTGAAATTGGCTCACGAATCCTGTGCCAGAATGCTTTCGATCGCCAGTTGTATGAAGCGACTCGATGAACGAAGCTAAACATATCCCATGCAAGAGAAAACTACCCGTGTTGATTCTTGGAGTATTTCACCGGACATAACTCATTAGAAATTACAGTAAAAACTGATGTAACTCAGTTTATATACATCCATATTAATTTGTGTTCATTTCTAGGTGCCAAAGAATAGCGATTTAGCGCCTTTAAACACTCTGCACGTAAAAGATCCCTTGGCAGTAATTGGAATTCGATATAAGAGTCGGCCGTTGTGCCGCTGTCCGGGCAAAATTTCGCTTACAGCTTATGCCCGTCTTCATTATAAGCCCAGTTCGGAGCAGAACAGTAGGACGTTAAACCCCATTTCATTCATTTCCTTTAGATACTCATCTTTTATCAAATACATTGACCTCATGTGGGGCATAAACATCAACGAAATACATTTTGAAGGATTCATATCCGATTCTCATCAAGGACAAATTATAATCATTAACTCATACAATCATTAAAGATGTACGATTTAGATAAAGAGTTGTCTGTTCTTGATATAATAGTTCAAAAATAGATAATAAAAAATGAATATATTGACAATTTTATTCAAATTACTTTTTTCTGAGGCAAGTTATTAGTGCTGGAATATGTAGTGCTGATTCTTTATGAACGTTGCAACGATACTGGACAAACGGGACTAGGTCTCGATTATCCATTTTATCATTAAAGTTTTAATCTCAGCCATCCAATGAACTAGAGAGCTGATCATGGGTTTGTCATGTTAAACATACATTATGCAAGAGCTAAATCTGCCTATTGCAGGTCTTTCTTTAGGCCTGAAATATTTTCTAAATTATTAATTAGACATTAATTTACTGATCCAGGCTATAATCAACTCTCGGTGGCATCGGATTTCTCCGATATTAAATAGATCAAAACGGTTCAGCCATATTCTGATTTAATTTAAACATGGAGGAGCGAGACTTAGCTTTCGAACAATCATACCTTGGTTGAAATTATTACAAACGTCTTGTCAAACCTTCAAAGGCAACTATCTACGCTCGCAATAGAGTAATTTGAATGAAATTTTCAAATTATTCATTTTACATTATATCTATTTTCGAACTATCATAGCAATGATGGCTAGCTCTTTATCTAAATCTTACATAATGTATCTTTAATAAATGTCTAAATTTAGTGTATGTAACATTCGAAGCTAAAAATAAAGACCTGCAATAGGCAGATTTAGCTATTACATAATGTATCTTTAACACATACTTCATGTGAGAGCTAAATTACCGATCGAGAAACAAATTAACAGAGGACAAATTTTAGTGATTACCATAAAATTAGTGTTCTGAAAGAAAAAACTAGGCTGATTCACTTCCCAAAATTCAATTGTCGACCTAGAGTCGACATAACCCATGGTTCAGTCTAACGGATGTGAAATTGAAGTACTGCGCCCATATCCAATTTTCTTTGTTGCCCTCCTAGACTTACTGTTCTGTATTGTCACTATAATATACATATATATATCCAATGGTTTTATTTCATATGTATACAATCTTTAATTTCAGAGACCAATATAGGTCTATAGCATATTCTGTTATTTTAGTATTCTGTATTTCTAGAAAAAAAACTAAATTCAAATATAGGTAAAAAGGCGTTTTTTTTTGGGGGGGGGGGAGGGGGGGGGTAACCAATTTGTGTATTTTCACTTCTAGAGAAAATGAAACGGACAAGATATGTAGACCAGTTGTTTTTATTTTCGTATCAATGTTGTATTCATAGCCTGAATTTTTAGAGCCCTTGTATTATTTTTTTTTTTAAAAACGACTATAGATACACATTTCCCAGTTATAGAGAAATAACTGGAGGCCATTTATTTTATGTTGTCTTCATAGTTATTTTCTAAAGACTTTACATCTATGTAATTTAAAAAAAATGTTTATTTCATAAATGCACAATATATGTAGGCCATTTATGTCTTCATAGTCTAAATATTTTAAACCGTTAATCTATATAAAAAAAAGTAAATAAAAAATTTACATGGGCTTATGTCCAATTTTCCTAGTTTTCAATATCTATTTATAAGCTCTAATATACACTGATTCATATGATGACATAGATAAGGATGACAATCACGCATCCGGAAGTACTTCACATTTGTCACTTAGTAATATAAGATGTTCACATGACAATGAAAAATAGTTATTATGTGTCTATTTTTAACAGTCATACTCATGTGAAAATCTGTTAAACTGTTTCATTCGTACCGGAAGTGGTGTCAGTTAAAGGGTAAAGGGCGCCACTAAAACCAATCATCACTGCATTGCAATTCTAGTTTTCGATTATTTTCTGAGCTGTTTCCGAACCATTCTTACAAAATAAATACAATGTATTCTTGCAATAGCAATGTGTCTGTTGGTTAGTGGTATTTTAAAGATGCATTACGCAATATTTAGATATAGAGCTGACAGTTCTCACTATAATAGTTTTAAAATCGTACTGACGTTTTTTTTCTTTCGCTGTTTAGTATATAACATTTGAGGCCAAACGAAAGATTTGCAATATGCAGATTTAGTTCCTACATGATGCATTTCTAACCATTGTATCTTCGTGTGATGTTAGCCTTAGTCACTAATCTGTTTCCATTCAATGTCGTATAGGCTACATGCATGGATATAGATATACAATATTAAATTTCAATACGACATCATAGAAATACTTATAGTTTACATTATTAAAATACGTGCGCGCTGTATCATAAGGCCTGTCATTGAGTCAACTGGCGTGGTTTCGAATTCCCGGTTGTACGTGACAAGGAGTAGAGTCGCCTGTCCAGCCTCCCGGATTTTCTCCGGTTCCTCCGGTTTCCTCCCACTGCTAAAGACCCCTACGCGAAAGCGAATTAAGGAAATAAAATTAAACCATATGTTAGTCCCGACATGAGCTAGTTTGTGTCGAGTGGACGTTAAATCCCATCTCTCTCCCTCTCTCCCTCATTTAGATTTATTTCCTTCTAGTCATACAAATATCTCAATTTAGATATACATTAACTTTCAATATGACATCATAAAATTACTTATATTCTACATCTCATTTCCTATTTGTCAAGAATATATTTCAATAACACGCTATATCATTTTCTCTTCAACATGATGAACACGTTGATGATATTGGTGATATTTTGTCTTTTTGTATGTTCCATCAGTAAAGGTATGTAACAGGTTGTCATCGTTCTGGTAGCTATAGGCCTGATAGTAGATAATTATATATCTATCAAGTATCAATAAGGTAGCATTACTACCTATATTTCAATATGACCTGTGTAGCCTTAGCCTTGTCAAGCAAAAACTTAAGTAGTCACAAATATACACGACATTTCATCGAACTTTTTGAAACGTCGCATAGTATTTAGTATGGCGGTATATATTACATTCACAACTATAAATTTGTGAATTTCATGCAATCTTCTAATTGCTAACTTCTTATTGTGGACTTTCTAAATAAAGACAATTCAGCGTAATTTTTGGATTTAACATAAACATGAAAACAGCTCGATGTTTAAACCTGTTAACTAATGAAAACCGTGCTATAAATATAACTTATATTTACGTCACAAACTATGTAACAGATAGCCCTTATATTGATATTTCATGTTGATAGTCAAATCGCCAATCTGATTACAGATCTATATTTCGTTTCGTTTTTTTATACTTTCGATGGCCTACACTACATGAAGATCTGACAAGTTATAGCGATAGGTCACGTCAGGGTTCAAAAGACCGACTTATGACCCTATGACGTCAGACATTTGATTAACCAATCAGCATTGATGTTACTAGTGGATTACCCACGCCTAAAGCTCGCCGTAACAGACCGTTTCATTGGCTTATCCCTGACACCATTCAGAACACGAGTTAAATAACAACTCTTCCAGATCACTCTTCCAGATCCAAGTGTAGTAAAGACAAGTAAAACGAAATTTTGAACCATAAAAAAGAAACGAAATAGGATCTGTGTTTTAACCAGATTGGTCAAATCGCCATCAAATCGTGGGAAACCCCGAACGGATCAAATAACAAAATTACCCCATCCGCTCCAATCAAGATATTCTTGTTGCGATTTGAACGATGGGTACATCATTCTGTAAATTCACTTATCTGGTGCTGGATAACTGAAGCTAATCAAAGATCCCCAATTATCGGAATCAACTTTTGCATTATTAAGTGTGTTTTCTTGTGATTTTTATCGTTTTAGAACTAACTGGAAACTTGACATTAATTCGTCCAGAAAAGACAAGATTTATTGCTGGTCAGTCCATTGATATAACGTGTAAGACGGAAGTGACGTATACTACTACCAACATTACGTGGTATATAGACACTGCAGATAATAAGCTATATGAAGATATAACAACGGATATTGAGGATGGAGTATCAACAAGCAGACTTAGACTAACACTGGACAAACATCTGAATAATCACACTCTTTATTGTTCAGCTTTTAATGGTTATGGCGAAGTTCAGACGGATTTTCTCAAACTGGATGTAACGTGTAAGTTCAAAATCTAAACGTTACTATCTTTGGCTATGGCTAAAACTATTTTTAAATTTTTCAAGTCTGGTATAAACTTTAGAAGGAGATTGAATATAGATACCCGGACAGATTAGCAGTTACAAATAACCATAAACCTGACAAGACATTCCAAATAGACACGGGTTCCCAACCTCGGGATCGCGGAGCACTTTGGGTGGGGTCGCGGCGGACTACTCTGGAAATTTTGAATAAATGCTGTTTTCATGAATAGCATATACGGGGGATGGCTGAAAAGTTCTAAGTCTGAAAAGGATAGATCGATCCGGTTGAAACAATTTTTTACCACCAAAAAGTACAATCATAAGACATAAGAACTGCAACTGTAGTCTTATTATTGTCTTCGTACCAGACCATCTTGTAAACCTACCCATTGAAATCACCAGACAGGGACAAAATGGCTACAGGGCAGCCATCAAGTACCTGCAAGTAAAAGGAATAACCCGAAAACAAATACATGGCGACGTGGTCTCCACCTTAGGGGATGATACCCATTCCTTTTATACAGTAAAGCAGTGGGCTGTGGAATTTAAGCGTGGTAGAGAGATGCCCCGCGTCCTGGAAGGCCACCAACGGCAACCATTCGACGATGGACCACTCGACACATAACCAGTGTTGTGGGCATCTCTCATGAGCGCGTTGGGCATATAATCGCAAAGAGTTAGGAATGACAAACGTTTTTCTAAGATGGGTGTAAAATCAATTTTCAACCAGCCCTCGTAAATCCCTTGATCTATACAGCTCTTGCCACATTGCTAATCGTCTTTACTATTTCACGATCACGATTTGTTTCCCCTGTCCCTCATTACAACATTTTTTTATCTATGAATAATGATGATGTTTCATGTTTCATTGTAAAAGGTGACTTTGTTCATCGATGATTCGCGATCAGATGATGTTTTCTAAAATGGGGTCGCAACAACTGAAATATACAAAATGCAACTTTGTCTAAATTTAAACCAAACCAGTAAACGTTTACAGAAACTTGTTGCTCAACCATCAGCCAATAGGGGGGTTGGGTTGGCTAAAAGGGTTAACACGTGCGCTTAATATATATGAAATATTAGATCGATTGGTCCAAATCATCACTCCAACCTCGTGGGTTTTCTCCAGGTCCCCCGGTTTCCTCCCACTGCTAAAGACCCCTACGCGCAAGCGAATTATGGAAATACGTTTGTGTCCAGTGGACGTTAAACCCCATTTCTCTCTCTTTCTCTCCAAATCATCACCCCTCTAAATATTTGATATAATCACACGTTTTTTGGACATGTTAGATATCAAACTAATATTTGATAATAACATTTATGGCTGCATTTCTATATGCTGACGTTTTCAAATTGAAAGTGAAATTTAATTTTAGTTTTTTCAACTTTTGTTTTCATCTTTTTTTTAGGTCTACCAACAATCCACATTGTAATAGAAGCAACTTCCATAGCCATTGTTGAAGGGGAACAACTTTTATTGACATGTTCCGTTCAAGACACCAACCCTCGAGTACCACCACATGGTTATACTTGGAGTAGAAATGGTATAAAGCTGATAGACCAAACATCAAATATATTTAAAGTGAATTCAACATCGTCGCGCGACACTGGTGACTATACATGTACGGGTAACAATGGTATAGGAATAGGTATATCATCACCTGTAAAGGTTAATCTCATTCTATGTGTTTACGAAGTTGTTATTGGACTCTCCGTATGTTTGGCTTTGTTTATGGTATTGTCCATTGTACTCTCCTTCGTGGTCGCATATCTGATGCTAAAAATTAGAAGGTTAACAACCTCATCTAAAGGTAAGGATAGATACTAACTTATTGTTTTATCCATTGTATCTGATATTAACCATTAGAAGGTCAACAACCAAAACTAAAGGTAAGGATACTGCCTTATAGTATCTGAAATTAACCACTAGACGGTTAACAACCAAAACGAACGGCAAGGATACTGTTTTATCCATTGTATCTGATATTAACACTATTGGAAGGTCAACAACCAAAACTAAAGTATGGATACTAACTTAATATATAGTTTCTGATATTAACTATTGGAAGGCTTTGTTTATTGTTGTATCCCTTGGATCATATATCTTATATTAACCAAAACCAAACAACATTAAAAGTGTTTGAATTTGATGGATACGAAACCAAACCGACGTTTTGCAAGAATGCTAATTCAAACATTTTGTCACTCGGATTCTAAAGCGTGTTTGCATTTGATGGATACGAAATCAAACAGACCTTTTGCAAGAATACTAATTCAAACAATAATAAAACTAGAGGTAATTTGGGACACTCTGTCATTCACATACTGAACTGTTGAATGTCCTGGTTGATAAATCACCCGCATCTAGAACACGCAATATTAATGGAAAGCATAAGTAAAAATTGCTGGCGGCAAGACCCGAGCAGTTCGAACACAGAAATCTCGACTTACATGTCACGTGTTCGAATCCAAGGGTGAACAGATAACAACCTTAGGGATTTTCAAATCCGGTCTTACACTTCTCAGGGGTGGAAGTTGTGGTGCTGTCAACGAAAGTGTGTATTTTCCCCTCTTTTATTGTAGAAGGTTCAAATTATGACGGACTAGAGCAGGGTAACAGAGAGGACGATCAGTATTCAAGTACTACTGCCTTGGTTCCCGACACATCCCCAGAACAAATACCAGAATACTATAACCAAACTTCCAGTGAGTTGTAAATCTTCGTATCCTCGGATTTTTCTCCAATGGCTCTTTGTGATAATAAAGCCAAATAGATATACACTCCTCTAATATACAGTTCTGTCACATCAGAGGTCATACAAATTTACCAATTGGTAGAATTGTTTATGGATGGACGTTGTTCAGGCGTTAGCTGCTCTGGCTAGAATGGAGTTGACGAAGAGACCGAAAACCATTTTATTTTTGAGTTCATTAGACTTATGCTTGTATTTATTTACCCCGCTTGATATATAAACGTATTTAGACAAACTTTAATTATAACATAAGTTTTATTGCAGTCATTTTGAGTCCACGAAGAAGTCCATTTCGAAAAACAACATGACGCAAAGAAATATCGGCCTATTCTTTTTGGTGCCATTTTGCAGACAATGTAACATACGGTTGTGTTAACATATCTCAATATAATCTATGGGTGGCGAGAATTTGTAATAGACCTCGCATAGATAAACTAAATATATTTATATGAAATGAAATGAAATGGTGTTTAACGTCCTACTGTTCTGCTCCTATGCTGGGCTAATGAAGACGGGCATACGCCATACAGTGTGCTATGAGGGAAATTTTGCCTGGGCAGCGGCACTATCGCCTACTCTTATATCGAATTCCAACTGCCAAGGGATCTTTTACGGGCATTCCAATGTATACACGGGACCTCGGTTTTTCGTCTCACCCAAAGGACTAGACAGCTGTAAATATATTTATAAGACCACGTTTGAATGTTAGTCACTATATGGTTCTATCACTATTAGTATATTTAATATAATATTATTTACAGATATTGCTGGGGCCACGGGAGATAACTCACTTTATGAAAACGTGTAAAGGAGACAAAACTCAACGGGATAAATATCAACAGTTGTCCAGAAAAAAGCAACAACAGATATGACCCAAGAATATCTCAAAGCAGTGTATTTTGTAACAGTGGGTGTTTGTTGATGAGACGATACTTTGAACGACGAAGAGATTAATTTTCTAAGATTTGATGACTGTCTGAAACTGTTTAAGATTATTAAATTGTTCATCATACCTGTTCATTTTGTCACGTTTTAGCAATACGGGAAGATTTTTTTGCCATTCAATCAAGTAGAGTTCTATGTAGTGACCAATGGTAATTAAAAAATCTTCTTGGGAATTATGGCTTTTGACTCTCATAATTTGGTTTGCTCTAAATGAAGAACTCGGTGATTTAGCTTCATCATACATTATGCAAGAGCCAAGTCTGCCTATTGCAGGTCTTTCTTTAGGCCTGAAATTTTATATAAACTATTAATTAGACATTTATTTACAAAGCGAGACCATAATCAACTCTCGATGGCATCGGATAATTGAGATTTTGACTAAATTAAAACGGTTCGTCATTTAAAAATTTAATTTAAAAATGGGAAAGCGAGGCTAAGTCTCGAATATACCAGTGTCATGGTTACCACAATGCACACATCTTGTCAAAACTACAAACAATGATAACTTGGCTGAGAATGAAGTAATTTGAATGAAATTTTCAATATTTTCTATTTTTATTATCTATTTTTGAATTATTATAGCAAGAATGACCAACTCTTTATTAAACTCTTAACTAATGTAGCTTTAATGTGCTTTCCAGCACATGCTTTTAGTTCATTAATCACAAAATAAGTTATTCTTTCAAATTCAATGGTTTAGTTTTTACCGATATATCTTCCACCATACTCATGATAAACCATACAATAAATGATATATTTAGAACTGCAATTCATTGGCTGTAAATATCCCTGTATTAGTTATCTTAAAGATACATTATGGGAGATAAGATAAAGAGCTGGCAGTTCTCACTATAATAGTTAAAAACTAGACCATGTAAAGACAATTTGCTGACAATTTAAGTCAAATTGATCCACTGTGAACCGAGAATTAAGCGATTGAAATTTCAGCCTAGCCTCGATCATCATTACTAAAGTCTGTGCGATAAAAAACATAGTCTCGATCATCCATTTCATGATTAAATTATGAATGAACTTCGAGCAGCAAATGGAATCATCTAGAGTTGATTATGGTCTGGCTAAGTTAAATAATGTCTAATTAATAATTTAGATAACATTTTCAAACCTAAAGAAAAACCTGCAATTGGCAGATTTAGCCCTTGCATAATGTATGATTAAATGAGAACCCTTTATGTTTGTCTATGCGTCTAGAATATTTCATACTACTTCTAATTCTGTCACTTGTTAGTAGTATAAAGATGAGGCGTTTTTGTGAGTCGATTAGATTAGGTTTTGATTTGCTAGTACGATTTGGTATGATTTCGATTTGATTAGCTATGGTCCACAAATGTGAAATTTGATAATTACGATTTGGTAAGATGGCTGCCACCACGGACACCGATCAGAAAAAAAATTGTCTCTGCTAACATGACGAGGGGGGCGTGTGTTTCACGTGTAGTCCAAGTTACCTACAGATTACAGTGACACTGCTGGCACCCAGAGGGCCTAAAATTGCTTAGAGCCAGAGGTGATCTAACATTCTTGTGGACTATAAAGTTAACATTAAAGGAGCTAAATCGCTAACATTTGGGACCTAGAAATTGACAAAAGTGGGTCGCAATGCATATAATACTGTAATATGAATGTATATAAACTGATTTACATTCAATGGTTTCCGTTTTTACTCCAATTTCAAATCCGTTATGTTCGGCGAAATAAGCCAGCAGTCTCAAGCGAGTGCAAATTTCTAGCGTCTGGTTATTCCAGTTTACATACGCCGTTTGATTTGGTGCAATGTGTCTAGCCTCGTCCCTCGAGTCTCTTGATACAACTAGGACTGAAGCGCATTATGGTACACGATTCGTGTACCAATGGTAAAATGTTTATTTTGTCTTAAATATTGGATATCAAAAGCCCATCTTTTCCCGTTAAGATCACAACATGAATGTTGATATAATTTGACAAATAAATCGTGTTTTCAATGTTGAAGATTTTGGATGATATTGAGTTAGAGACTTAGCTACTTTAAACACATCAAATGCGTTTTAAAAAAACATTTTTTATGGAGAAAAACAACAATAAGCATTAAAAATTACTTACGATGTCGAACATTCCGCCATTTTGAAAACGTCAAATCTAATTGCCTAAACACCTCCTGGGACGATTCGGTCGATTTGCCTAATCAGTTGAGTTAAATCGTCTCACAAATGTAACGATTAGCATAATCAACTTGGTTCACAAATGCGTATAATAGCTAATCGGTCTAATCTAATCGGTTAACAAAAACGCCTATGGTTTTGGACAATAGATTTTGCATCCTCTTCAGTAGGGATATGTGTAGTAATTTATTCATAGGAATTATTGCTTTTGGCTCTCTTAATTTGGTTTGCTCTAAATTGATAGCTCGATGATTAGTTTCATCAATAAATTTATCTGGGTAATTTTGTTTCCGAAGATATACGCCCAGTTCAGCTAATCTTTTATTAATTGTTTTGTATCACATGTTTGTATTGTATTAAATGTTTTCATTTTATAAATTGTGTTTCATTGTATTTCATTGTATAGATTGTGTTTTATTGTATAATCTTTTTTCATTGTATAATCTGTGTTCATTGTATAGAGTGTTTTTATTCTATAAACTGTGTTCATTTTTTTTTAAATTTCTTTCATTGTATAAGATGTTTTCATTGTACAAGATGCTTTCATTTTTTAATTTTTTTTCATTTTATAATTTTCTTTTAATTATCTTTTGATACTACTTAAAATTGTTTGTGTTGTATATATTTTCGAAAGATTCTTGTGTTCTTCTTTACTAGTATCGGTCTTCATAGGGGCAACAATGTAAACAAAAACTTTGAGAGAGAGAGAGAGAGAGAGAGAGAGAGAGAGAGAGAGAGATGAGGTTTAACGTCCACTCGACACAAACTAGGCCATTTCGGGACTAACATATGGTTTAATTGTATTTACATAATTCGCTTGCATAACCCACGAGGTTGGACAGGCGACCCTACTCCTTGCCACGTATAACCGCAGAAACTTTGAATAATGCATTAATAGTACGTGGAGTAGGTCCATACCACAATCAACTTGGATCCATTAAAACCAACAATACGTGGTCAATGAGAAAACTCGGACATTGATAAACAATACTCCTTTAAGTCTACTGGTGTATCGTCTGGCGATCCCTTGACAGTTGGAATTCGATATAAGAGTAGGCCGTAGCTGCTCTAACTAGAGTGAAGTTGAGCAAGACCGAAAGCCATTTTATTTTTGAGTTCATTAGACATGTGCTTGTACCTTTTTATCCTGCGTGATATAAAAAAAATTGTAACATATGAGTCCGTGGAGAAGTCCTTTCGAAAAACAACGTAAAGGAAAGAATTATCGGGTGTTATGACGGACATTGCTATCTATTTGTGGTGCCGTTTTGCAGACAGTGTAACAAATAGTCGTGTTACATATGTAGGTTGCAATATAATTTATGTGTGGCGATGATTGTTAATACCATTACAAACTATAAAATATCGCATAGATAAACTAAATATATTTATCAGATTACTTGTCAATTCAGTTGAATGGTTGCTACTATGGTTCTGTCTTTAATAGGCTTTTTATAATAACATTTACAGATACTGTCGCTACCAAGGGAGATAACTCACTTTATGAAAACGTGGAGAGGGCGCAAGCATGAACGGAATAAAAATCAACATTTGTCGTGAAACAGCAACCGCACATAAATAGCTGAACTGTCTAAAGCATATGTTTATATTTTAGTGTTGGGCGGCGTTGAATATAATGAAAGGGCTGTAAATTGTAATACCAATTATACGAAGTAAACCAAAGCGGAAAATTATATACATGTATGCCGAGTAGAATGGGTGGGTTTACTGTACAATCGCAAAAGAGAGTGGAAAATCACGTATAGTAGGTACACAGGCTCCGCCTTTATAGAAAACATTTTAAATAGCAGCCTCTGTTGTGGAGTTGTAACAATAGCTTGTGGAATTTGACGCTCGCGTACTATATATACGTCACTTATCAGTGTACTGGATTTTATTATTAGTAGATTATTTTAATTTATGCCGACAAACTTGAGATGTACTTTTATCGTATCTAAATTATTAGAACTTATATAAAAACTGATTCAGGATAAATCTTGCAATAAATGGTATATTTGATACGTAGTTCATTGATTGTTTTACTGTAAATACCTAAGTATTAGATATCTTTGTGTTGTAAATTGACTTTCGACCCTGATTTTATTATTTTTAGAGTAACGTCCCCTTGTTTACTCTTATTAAAAAACCCTTAAAGCATCGCCACTCAATTTCTTAGTTTATTACAAAAATAAACCACCCAAGCCACATTTTCTGAAAACTCCCATTCGTGAAATAGGTCATTTAAATATAAATAGACTTTTCGGTAAAATTGATGAAGTAAGGGATTTAATTTTGCAAGATAATGAAAATTTTAATGTCATGGGCTTTTCTGAAACGTTTTTACATTCTGAAATTGACGATAAATTTATTAATATCTTTGGTTATGATCTGATCAGAAAAGATCGACTGAGCAAAAGTGGCGGAGGCCTTATCTTATATGTAAATTCAGATCTAAAATATTCAAGAAAACTTGATTATGAACATCAAAATATCGAATCCATTTGGATTGAACTCCATCCAGAATATGAAAAATCATTTTTATTATGTCTTGTATATAGACCACCTTCTTCGTGTACAGGTTGGTTTGATGATTTTGAAACTAGTTTAAATTCCATAAATACTGGTCAATCTATTTATGTAATAGGAGATTTTAATATAGATTATTCAACTACTGTTCCAAAACGATGGGAAAACATAATCAATATGCAGGGATTACATCAATTAATTACTGCCCCTACACGCTGTTTTAAAAATTCTTCTACTGTCATTGACCATCTATATACAAACACACCGGATAATATTGTTGAAATTAAAGTTCCTCAATATGGTATTAGTGACCATTTTCCGATTATTTTTATCATTGGAAACTGCAAGAGAAAAATCACAAAACACAACCACTTGGAAATTCTATACAGAAATTACAAAAACTTTGATGATTCTAATTTTATTAATGATCTTGCTAAAATTCCATTTGAACTAGTCGAGTCAATTGATGACCCAAATTCTGCCCTTGATACTTGGTATAACCTTTTTATAGGTGTTTTAGACTGCCATGCTCCGCAAAAGCGAAAAAGAGTAAAAAGATACTATCAACCGAAGTGGTTTAATGAGGAAATAAATAAAGCCCGAAAGTTCAGGGACTTCTTTAAAGCCTCCAAGAGGTGTGACGACTATAGAATATGGAGAAATAAAACCAAAAATCTCATTAATAAAGCCAAAAAAAACTTTATCAAGGACTCTATCGAAAATGAAGAGCAATCTAAAAACATATGGAGATATTTTAGTGACATACAGAATAAACCCAATAATTGCCCTTATCCCAATAGTATTCAATATGGAAAAACAACAGTTAATGATCTAAATGCTATTGCTAATGTGATGAATGATTACTTCACTAATTTAACTGATGACATTAAGCCCCCCTATACACCACTTTCTCAAGAGTGCAAACGAAAGATATCAGATTACGTAAATGATAAGATTCCCCCAAATAACAACTTTTCTATTAATTGTATTACTACCACAGAGGTATTAAAACATTTATTGAGTTTAAATAGTAACAAAGCCATTGGGTGTGATGGTATTGGACCCAAAATTTTAAAATTGTCTGCGTATACAATTTGTAGCAGTTTGACATATATCATTAATCTTTGTATTTCTCAAAACATGTTCCCCAGTGCCCTTAAACTGGCTAAAATTATTCCTATACATAAGAAGGGAGCTAAAGATGATCCGAACAATTATAGGCCAATCTCAATTCTCCCCACAATTTCAAAAATATTCGAAAGGCACTTGAGCACTCAAATTCAAACTTATTTGGAAACCTTCAATGTTCTTTATGCTTACCAATCTGGATTTAGATCAAATCATTCATGTGCTACTGCACTGATCCGAATGACAGATAATTGGCTTGATGCTATCGATAATGGTGCGATGAGTGGTATAGTGTATCTTGATTTTAGCAAAGCATTTGATCTCATTGATCATAAGCTTATTATTGAAAAACTACATCTTTATCGATTTGATAATAATTCACAAATTTTGATTGAATCATATCTTGACTCACGGAAGCAAAAAGTATGTTTAGGATCAATTACCTCCTCAATTACTACAGTCAAATGCGGGGTTCCACAAGGTTCGATCCTGGGTCCTCTCCTATTCCTAATTTTTATAAATGATCTCCCACTCAATATTGAATCAAGTGAGATAGATTTGTTTGCTGATGACAGTACCCTGCATTGTTCACACAAAGATATTTTATCCATTGCCAAAAATCTCCAAAATGATCTCTATTTGGTTGCTGAATGGTGTGAAAACAATGGGATGGTAATCAATCCTTCGAAAACAAAATCAATGCTGATTTCAACAAAACACAAAAGAAATCAGAAAAACCTAACTTTATCACTCCATGGTGAGAAAATTGAGACGGTTACTACCGCAAAATTACTTGGAATTCAAATTGACCAAGACCTTAATTGGGAAGCACAGATAGCAGATATGTCTAAAAAACTTGCATCAAAAATATTTCTCCTAAATAAGATAAAAGATCATTTACCTTACGAGACAAGAATTTTGTTTTATAACAGTTACATACTACCAATATTTGATTATTGCTCTATTATTTGGGGAAATGCTACCAAAAGTAGATTAGACATTCTTTTAAAATTACAAAAGAGGGCAGCAAGAGCTATTCTTGATGCACCGATTGAAACTCCGTCCACCTCTTTATTTACTAAACTCGGTTGGCTTACCCTTACACAGAGGATTCTTTACAATAAAATTGTCTTATCATTCAAAATTATTACATTTAATACTCCACTGTATCTAAATTTCCATTTTATTGAAAAATCTCTTGTTTCCAAAACGGATATCTTGCTCCGTTCACAGACCAGTAAATCTCTTTTTCTTCAAAAATGCAAAACGGAATCCATGAAACGTACTTTTCATTATTCTGCATGTCTTTTATGGAACAATCTGCCTTTTGATATAAAGATGTGTAAAAATGTTGAAAATTTTAAGATTAAACTGAAAACTCATTTATTTTGCACACTGAAGGAACCATAATATTCAACTGATGACATACTTATTATTTTTAACTTGCAACTGCATTCTATTTTATTTTGTGTGTAATTATAGTGTTCTTCCTATATTCTACTTGTATAATGTATATGTTTTGTAGTTTGGGAGTGACTTATCAAACTTCCCACTTTAAAATGCTATTGCATTCTAATGATTTTAAATTTATCCTGATATTACATGTATATATGTCTTTGTAGTTTAGGAGGGACCTATGGAAGATTAGTTTTTTTTTTTGCAAACTAAATACGTTGCCTCATTAAATAAAGTTTTTATTATTATTATTATTATTATTATTGTAAACATGGATTGGGGAAATCCGGGTTAGTTTGCTGTTACCCTCCGATGTAAACAGAACACGCTTTAATAATATCATTACAATAATATCATTGCTTTTCATTTTATAAAATTGTTTTTCATTTTAAAAAATTGTTTTTCATTTTATAAAATAGTTTTTCATTTAAAAAAAAATGTTTTCATTTAAAAAAAAATGTTTTCATTGTATAATAAATTGCTTTCATTTTTTTTTAAAAAATTGCTTTCATTTTTTTTAAAAAATTGCTTTCATTTTATACATTGCTTTTTAATTGATTAATAGTAGGACGTCAAACCCCATTTCATTTCATTTCATTTTAATTGTTTAAATTGTTTTCATTGTATAAATAATTTTCATTTAATAAATTGTTTTGATTTTATAAAATGTTTTTATTGCACGAATTACTTTCATATTTTTAAATTGCTTTTATTTTATACATTGTTTTAATTGTTTTCATTGTATAAATTGTTGCTTTTAATGTATCTTTTAGTTTTTGTGCTGTATATTGTTTTCGGAGTGTTTGTCTTTCATCGACGGTAAAAACGTGAATAGATCCTAACCAGAATGAACTTGAATCGAAGAAAACAAACACGTGGTCAATAAGAAATCTCGGACAGACAATGCCCCCTTAAGTTGTCTCGTTTATCGTCTTACTCAGATGGCCCAGTAAGTTAGACGCTAACTCGTCAACCAGGATGTATTGGGTTCACTCCCTTTGTTAGCCGAGAAAATCTTCTTGTCTTCTTGGTATTGAACGGGTGGACTGACAAGGTCCTGTTTACATATTGGCGTGCACGTGAAAATGGAATTCGAAAAATTAGTAGGACGTACAGTAGCTGTCCGGACACAATTTCCCTCGTAGGACACTTTACGGCGTATACCCATCTTCCTTAGCCCAGTCGGTGCCGCAAATTAGGACGTTAATCTGACTCAAGTGTGTTGTACAGCTGCTGTCCGGGCAACACCCCCCCCCCCTCATAGCACACTTTATTGCGTATATCCGTCTTCATTAGCCCAGTTAGAACACTAGGACGTTAAACCCCATTTCATGTCATGGTTGACTCAAGTGTGCCTTACCAGTAAATACGAAAGTAAACCAGCACCTAGGTATTTTATGTAGGGCTGTAACATTCTATATGGGCGCCCATCTGCTCTTTTTTCCGCGTGAATATCAGTTATTTGTCCATACGGCGCCATTCTCACATCAAATCGGCACCCTTAGGCGCTGGGCAGCTAATGTGTATTTAGCACTTTCTTTCTCGCCCTCCTTTACGTTGGAGCGGGCCTTCAATCTTGACGGGCCTTTTCTCTTAAGGACATTGGTATGCGATATGCAGGAGTAGTAAGGACGTAAACTGTCCTGTTGTTTCACTTCGTGGGTTTTCTCCGGGTCCCTTGAAATAAAATTAAACCATGTGTTAGTCCTGAAATGACCTTGTTTGTGTCGAGTGGACGTTAAACCCCATCTCTCTCTCTCTCTCTCTCTTTATTTAAACCGCTGTCATAAATTTTGTATACTCCTTCATATATCCTCTACCGATTAAATTAATTCACCGTGGATAAATATACAAATGAGTTAAACAGCCATATTATCTCAATATTATACTTTACACATGAACAAAACGTTTCCGGTTTCGGAGTTACGGGCACAACCCGGGCAGCGCCAGGACCTCCGCTATTATCTTATATAGCAAATTATGTCCTTACATGTAACAAGAGCGGTATTCAACTATTATATTTGTATTCTATTTACTGCATGAACACATATAGTTATTCACATTCAATGTTAGTATCTTTGACTTGTATTCAGCATAACTTATTATTGTACATGACCTCATATATCAAGCAAGCCAACGAAAACGGATGTAAACGTATATAAGCCAATAGTTGGGTGACATCAATAAATGGGTAGATGGATTATTATATTATTATTATCATTATACAAATCATTTGCATAGCGCACGCTTTTAACAAAAGTGTTTAGATGTGCTGTACAATATACACGTTAAATATGAGAAATCATACATTTAAGAATCTATAATAATTGAAGAAAACTCTATAAAAACTCAAACTCTATAAACATACAATTTAGAATATAAAATAATTTAAAACGAAAGTATAGTAGATGTGAGAAACTCGATAAAGTTGTGTAATAGAAATAGTAAAAATAAGTTTATAAATCTAAAGCTTGTCTAAATAAAAAAAATGTTTTCAATTGTGATTTGAAACAAGATAAGCAGGTAGAACTTCTGAAGACAAATAGGAGCTTATTCCACAATTGATGGGTCTGTATTTTAAACGATCAAGCACCGTAAATTAATAAATGTTAATAAATATTAGCATGTTAATAAATTCAGAAGTAGTATATCCATATAAGTGTTTTTAGTCTGTATTCTGTCTTTATAAAGAATATCAGAAGTTAAAAACGGACAGAAGGGATACAAGATGAGGTATATAAATACGTCAAACAGGAGGCGTGCAAAATGTGAAGATTAAATGATATATATAAATTCAAATTTTAGCTTTAAGGTTAGAGTTAAGCATTGTTTCTTCGTGTGATGTTAGCCTTAGTCCCTAATATGTATTCCTGCACTGTCGTATAGGCTACATGTATGGATATACTTATACATTATTAAGTTTCAATATGACATCATAAAGATACTTATAGTCTACATTTTACTTCCTTTTTGTCATGAATATATTTCAATAACACGTTATATTATTCACTCTTCAACATGACGAACACGTTGATGATATTGGTGGCATTCTGCCTTTCTGTCTGTTCCATCAGTGAAGGTATGTAACAGTTCTTTTGAGAAAGGTTGTAACACATTCAGTCATATAGTCAGTCGTGTAGCTATTGGCTCGATCGATTGAGATGTTTGCCTCTCAGTCAAGTAGTTATAAGGTAGCATTACCACTCGTATTTCAGTACGATTTGTTCAACAATAGTCGGGTCAAGCAAACCCTGATATAGTAACGAATATACACGACATTTCATCAACTTTTAAAACGTCGTATAGTATTTAGTATGGCGGTATATTAAATTCCAAAATCCAACTTTCTTAATGTCAGTCGTCTAATTTCGAACGTCTATTCGTGAAATTTCTAAATTAAGACAATGTGTGATCTAACTTCTGTATTCTAGTTCATTCTATTTATATTATTAAAATGAAAACAGTTCTCTTCATTGAAGCTTTACATGTGTACCATGAACATCGAACAAATTAAGAATAGTGACATTTCTACCTAGCAACAACCATTACAGTCGTTTGGTGTCGCCAATGCCTGCTCAATTTATTCCTTGGTCCAAAGTGAGTGTCTCATTTAATATCCCCGTCCTTAAAATCACAAACCAGTATAAATTCTGTTTCTTCGGGGCAATAACTGAGGAACAAATCTTCTATGGTATCAAACATATCTAAGTTACTATAACTAGTATTTATTGGAGGAATATACGTAACACATCCCACGAGTTTAAATCCGAGTAGACTCTCATCTAATGAAAACCAAAGTGTAAAGTCGTTCTCCGGTCTGCATATTGAAATCACACTTTTTAAGTTTTCTTTCACTAACACGCAACTCCACCTGACGAATTTTTAGATTTTTTTTTACTATTTAGATGTAAATTAAAACCGTCTATTTCAAGTGCGTCTAAGAATGGGGTTTTAGTTTCAACTAAGCATACAATGTCAAATTCAGAAATGTAATTCTCAAAGTCATTAGAGAGTAGTTTTGATTTTAGTCCGCATACATTAAGTGTGAGTAACTTCAGTTCGGGTTGCTATAATTGGTTATCCTCTAATCGCTTTGTTGTAATAATTCTACCACCTGCGTTGACACGAAGTACCGAGTTTGGTAAGTGTCGAATAATTGCTCTTGAATTGGATTCAATTAGTCTCTTGGTTACTGATTTTGCTCTTGATATATAAACATCTTTGAATTCACTCTTTGCCAGCTTACTTTTGTTTTGTAATACTAGTACTCTATTTCTGTGTTCACTGTTCTCAAAGCTTATTTTAACTACTCCTGGTTTTGTTCCTGACTTCGATTTCAATCTCAATACATCAGTAATATTCACCATATTCAAGATTTGTTCATCAAGGGCTTTAATAATACTGAATGCTTTCTCTGATATTTCTTCCTCTTCTTCAAATTTAACACCAAACACTACCACAGTTAAGTCATTGTTTTCTGTCAGTCTATTGACTTCTAGTCTTGATAAATTATCTTTTAACTCTTGAACAGTGTTAACAACCTGGTCAACTCTAATCCTTTCTGTAGTTATATCAATGGATAATTCGTCTTGTAAAACTCTCACCTTTGAGTCAATATGACCCATAATTTCAGCTTTCCAATCATCCATTTACTTTTCTAACATCCCAGTCATTTTCTCTTGATTTGTTTTGACCTCAGATACAGCATCTATTAAAGTTGCGATCTGTTTTGTGAGTAATTCAATATACATAGTGTCTGTAGCATTTTCACTCTCCCTGTCATCCGTTTTATGAGTTTTATTGTCAGGCTTCGGCGTTTCTCCGTAGCTATGTAGAACCGTTTTACAATTCTGTATCTCTATTATTTATGATAGATTGTGATGGTACGCATCCGATACCGGAACATTTGTTTTCGTATAGATGCCACCCCCCTCCCCTCCCCCTCCCCCCCAAAAAAGATTTCAATAGCAGGTATCGAATAGTGGTAGTATAATGATGGATATTGTAAACTTTATTATAATGAATAGAAAATGACATAATAGCAATACGCAGGGGTATTGGCTTTAAAGTTAAACTGAACAAATCCTTCACTGTTGTTTATCAATCTATCATTTGAGAAATTCATAGAAATTGTGTCAGTTACTAACCTTTAGAATCCTAAATTTACATTGCAAATCATTGGTGGCGCGCTTCGGTCAGCAGTCATTATCATATACTTCAAATATGTATAATATGGGAATGACTTGTAAAAAATAAACCATGCTTTGCTTCTCGCGGCCATATTAATATTTTCTGAAATCTAAAATGGAATGTCATCGTAATGTCAAATTTACAATTAAATTTAACGCATCAAACTTTATTATATGAAAGTCGTGGCAAACATGATTGATTAAGCAGTACGAACATGATAGTAACAAAAACAACGTTTGTTTCAATCTCAATTCCCTAACTTTTAAAATCGCCATTACGGGCCTGCTACTACATTGTGTACGCCTGTCCAAAGAAGTCATTATAATCTCACTTAACTTTAAGGTACCTCCCATAAGTCACTTAAGTTAAGTTGATTTTTCTCACTTAAACTGGCCTTTGAATACCACTAAGGCCCATATTTTCGAACAGCGTCTAAAATAATCTGTGATTAGGGCTAATCAGTAACTAGCTAGTTAGAGATTAGTAGTTGACTAAGGTTCGTATTCTCAAAAGTAATCAATGATTAAAATTCATGTTTAAACTTTGATTATAATTAAAAATTTAATCAATGATTAAATATAATCAGTGATTAAAAAGGCTTTTGTCATTGATAAAGGGGCCCAATTACAGGAAGTAGATTAGAAAAGTACATGTTTTAGAACAGTTTTTCCAATCCTAGGGTCCGTGAAATTAAAAGAAATAAAATGTATGAAAAAGAAGGTCAAGAAAAAAAAGAGTTAGGATATTTTTAGTATTCGAAATAAAATTAAAGGAAATGGGGGTTTAACGTCCCACTGTTCTGTTTCAACTGGCAATCTGGCCTAAGGGAGACAGAAATAGAGTTTGGATATTTTTAGTATTTGAAATGAAATAAAATGGAGGTATAACGTCCCTACTGTTCTGCCCCAACTGGGCTAAGGGAGACGGACATACGCCATACAGTGTGCAATGAGGACAAGTTTGCCCAGACAGCGGCACTACGGCTCACAGTTATGCCAAATTCTAAATGCCAAGGGTTATTTTACGTGCGCTCCAATGTGTACAAGGTATTTCGGTTTGTTATCCAATCCAAACGACTCTTCGTTGTCCCTTGCACCACCGTGGATTTCAACAAATATAAAAGTGAAATACATCCTCCTGAACTAATATTAAATAAAGAAAATTCCGGCACTGTAAATGCATCTGTTCTTGACCTGGACATCAATATAATTAACAATAAATTTAATGTCGGTATTTTCGACAAAACGGAAAAATTTGGTTTTGAAGTAGTAAAATACCCGTCAATCTATAGTAATACCGTAAGGCCCTTGATCACTGTGAAAAATCTTGTCGACGCTCTAGAGGGTAAAGTTGGTATCCGATTGACTTTACATTTATACATAATGTCTAAGGTCGGGAGTTGAGGAAGCCTATTGATTTCCAACGATTTCCGATAATTACTGCCAGAGTTATGGCCTTTGATCACTTTGAAAAATCTTGTGGATGCTCTAAACTCTAAAGTTAATATCCGACCTATTTGAAATTTATACACGGCGTTTAACTTCATGAGAGGGGGATGCCTATTGATTGTCAATGCTTTCCGATAATTACTTCCAGAGTTATGGTCCTTGATACTAAATGTTTGTATAGTAAACGTTTGTATAGGGCAGAACTAAAGCTAAACAAATTCTATAGATTTCTGATAATTACATAATGGGTTGTTACTCGTACTCAGATTTTAGAGTCGTAAATGTTTTTATTACTAACCAAAGAAAGAAATATGTGACAACCCATGTTGACTGCACGGACGACTTAGCTGCTGTCGGTTCCCTTTTATGCTAAGAGGTTGATGTGCTCCTTTCTTTGCAGTTTCTTTTGTTAAAAGGTTCTTTGACATTTCTAAAAATAAATGTTTATTTTGTAGTCTATTCATTTTGACTAAAGTATACATAATTATTTATGTTTTCATACCATAGAGAATGTTTAATATTTCAAAAATCTTTTTTAACAGAATTTACGGTGAATGTGAATTTGTTGCTTTCGTAGCAAAATATAAGTGCAATGTGTCAGAATTCAATGAAAAATAATCATTTTTATAACATCCAAAGCGTTGTAATTGCATGTCCACGCACTTAATCCCTCCTTAAACTACCCCCCAGAGATGACTAAATATTGAAGTTATTTATTCAATGATTAAGTACAAGTCAACGTTCAAGAATATCACATTTTATGGTATTCTCGAACAATGATTAACCCAATGATTAGACTAATCAAAGTTTATAAAAATCTTAGCTTAAAATTTAATCAGCTTTTCAGAATATGGCTGGTCAGAAAATCAGAGATTAAATCTATGATTGGCATTAATCCACTTTCGATACTTAACACTGCCTTTGAATATCACTTACCCTTAACTTACAGGAAGTTACGTATATTTAAGTGAAATCTAGTAGAGTGACTATCTTAGACTTAAGATATCCATTGAATACGGACCCAGTTCTTTAGTAGTCATACATTTTAATTCCTTCTTATCAAGAAAATATTTCAATAATACGCTATATTATTCACCTTAATAAGCAATAATCTCCTTAATTTATCGCTTGACTCTTCTCTCTACATCAATTCAAATATGCAAGAATGACGATTGTCATTTCATACACATGCTGCTTAGTATTGTATGTATAACGTAATTTATATTGGTTTGTGTTTTACAGGTTTACCAAAGATTACAGTGGAACCATCTGATGTGGTGGAGGGCGAACCAGTGACACTTACATGTACTGTTGATTCACCTGATATTTATTATATCACATGGTATAGAAACAGTACATACATCACCGATTGTATAGATACTAGGTGTTATGACTCCATCTCTTATTATAACACCACAATGAACCGTTTAAACAGAACATCGAGTATTTATATACAAAACGTATCGAAATCAAGAGATCGTGGACCCTGGAAATGTAAAGACCAATCATCCCCGTTTTATGACGTAATCAAGTTAGATGTTAAAGGTAATGATATTATCAATATTATACCTCACCCACTCCTGGCGGCGATTTGAATGAGGTATTAGTGGGTAAATCATTGTTTAAATTCATGTTCATTGATATTTCATGTGAATTGTGAAATCGCCCTCATCAAGTGTTGAAAAACTCCAACGGATCAAATATTTTTTTCGCGGGAGTGGGGGATTTCTATCGGATGTTGTGTGGAGGAGGGTGGAGGAGGGTGGAGGAGGGTGGGGGCGGTGGGATAACTTTTATCTTGTTTTGGAAAACTACAGCTAATAAAACAACCGAAATTACGGAATTCAACGTTTGCAATATCAAATATTTGTTTGCTTTTTTTGTTTTGTTTTGTTTTGTTTCTGTTTTTTTTTTTTTTTTTTGAGAATTTTATCGTTTTAGAAATAACTGGACACTTGACATTAATTCGTCCAGAAAACACAAGATTTGTTGCTGGTCAGTCCATAGATATAACGTGTAACACGGAAGTGACGTATCCTGCAACCAATATCACGTGGTATATAGAGACTGCAGATAATAAGCTATATGAAGATATAACAACGGATATTGAGGATGGAGTATCAACAAGCAGACTAACACTAACACTGGACAAACATCTGAATAATCACACTCTTTATTGTTCAGCTTTTAATGGTTATGGCGAAGTTCAAACGGATTTTCTCAAACTGGATGTACCATGTAAGTTTAAAAACTAAAAGTGACAATCTTTGCCTATGCATTGAAATTGCTCAACTAATTGCAACACAAGCTTTTTTGTTAGTGCAAATTGGAGTATGGTGTTGTATTAGCAACATACTAAACATATACAAAATGAAATGAAATGGGGTTTAACGTCCTACTGTTCTGCTCCTAACCTGGGCTAATGAAGACGGGCATACGCCATACAGTGTGCTATGAGGGAAATTTTGCCCGGACAGCGGCGCTACGGCCTACTCTTATATCGAATTCCAACTGCCAAGGGATCTTTTACGTGCACGCCAATGTGTACACGGGACCTCGGTTTTTCGTCCCATCCGAACGACTAGACAGCTGTCCTTGTCAGGCCCCCCGTCCTGCATCACTGACAAGGGGGAAACCACGCCGGAAAATCGGGATGAACTTTCTCGGCCAATGCAGGGATCGAACACCCAACCTCCAGGCTAGCGAGCCAGCGCCTTACCCACTTAGCCACGTGATCCCCCTAAACATATACAACAATACAATTTGTGGAAAAGGTATTCGTGTGATGATTTTAAGACAAAGTGGTCAAAAAGTGGAAAAAACCCGGAAAATTCGCTTTTTATGAATTGTGAGAGAAAGCTAAATTTTTATTGGAGCATGGACGTGTATTAACAACATATTAAAAATATGAAAAAAAATAATTTGTAAAAAAATTAATATGTAAAAGAAGGTAATTTTGGGATGGGTTTAAGAGCAAATTGTAAAAATAAAACCCACAAAAATTGCTGTTTTACCGATATATCTTTAAAATCTATGAATTGTGAGAGAAAGGTAATTATTTATTGGGACATGAATGTATTAACATCAATAACATACTAAAATATCAATAAATATATAATTTGTGGTAAAGGTATTTTTATGTGATAAAGCTGAAAATCTATGAATTATTCTGAGAGAAAGGCACTATGGCTAAATATATTTTCAAATTTGTCAGATTTGTTTGTGTCATCGTTTGAATCTTATTTGGAACTTTAGTATAAACTTTAGAAGGAGACTGAATATAAACACACGGATAGATAATTTTTATTCTGAAATATTTGTAGTTACAAGTAAACGTGACAAATAAGACGTTGTAAACAGACAAAACGCAACTTTGGCTAAAGGTAAAACCACGAACGTTTATAGAAACGACTCTTTATATTACTTGGTGGTCCAATGGGTTAACACGTGCACTTAATGTATATAAAATATTGAATTAATTGGTCCAGATCATGTTGTGGACATGTTAAATATAAAACTAATATTTGATAATAACCTGTATGATTGCATTTATATACGTTGGCGTTTTCAGATTGGAAGTGATTTTTTATTTTTAGGATTTTCAACTGTTGTTTTCATCTTTTTTTGTAGATCCACCCACGATCCATATTCTAACAAAAGCAACTTCCATAGCCATCGCTGAAAAAACTTCCAAAGTCATTGCTGAAGGGGAACAAATCTTATTGATATGTTTCGTTCTAGACGCTAACCCTCGAGTACCACCACGTGGTTATAGTTGGAGTAGAAATGGTATAAAGCTAAAAGATCAAACATCAGATATCTTTAAAGTGGATTCAACATCGTCGCACGACACTGGTGACTATACATGTACGGGTAACAATGGTATTGGAACAGGTGTATCATCACCCGTGAAAATTTATGCTGATCCGCGTGTTAAGGAAGATAAATCTGGAGTTGTCACTGGACTCGCCGTGTGTTTGGCTTTGTTTATGGTATTGTCCATTGCACTCTCCTTACTCGTCGCATATCTGATGCTAACCAATAGAAGGTCAACAATCAAAACTAACGGTAAGGATACTAACTTATAGTATCTGATATTAACCATTATAAAGTCAACAACTAACATTAAAGATTTGGATTATGCCTGTGTGTATGGTTCTGCCCAAAGGTAAAGTTTTGGCTTTGTGTGTTGTTTTATCAACTGTATTCTCCTGTTAGTCGCATATCTCGTATTGACCAGTAAAAATGGTTATCGACTTAAATACCTTTGATTAGTTCGTATTGTATTAATCTTTTATTGTATTGAAAAGAGATATGGATTACTGTTGACGGGTAATTGTGACGTTTAATAACGGTGGACTATGTATATGCCCACTTGGACTGCCTAAAATGGAAACCCCATCTTATCCCCCAAACAATTGAAATGAAATGGAGTTTGTCCTCCGTCCTGAACCCACTGACAAGGGGAAGCCACACTGGAAAATACAAACAAAAGAAAAGCAACCGACTTGTATATAATTAATGGACCATGATGTCCAATGATGCTTATATTTATAATGGACCATTATGTTGATTGCTGCTTATATTTATAATGGACAGAATAATAATCTTGGTGTGTACGAGCCTTTAAACATATCTTATATAAAGCATCTTGTAGTATTCACTGTTATAATGTAATGTTATGTGACTAATTTTGATCCTGATAGTGATAATTTGTTTTAATAATTTTTTATTTTTGTTTTAGAATCCGTGGCAATAAGTAGAATTACGTGAGTAACATGGTATATTGAATCTAAATCGTTAATTATAATTATATAATTTCATAGCCATTGAAGTAATGGTGTACAGCATACATGTACAAACATTTTAAATTTGAAATATCTTTTCTGTATTTAGTATGTTTGAAGAGAAGGAGGAGGGGCGGGGGTATCGAGCAGTAATTGCTGCACAGTACAAAGTAAATAACATGTTCCATTCTTGAACCCACCAAAACACACACTTAATAAATATGGTAGCGTAATACTACAACACAGTATTAAGTTCGGTCGTTATAAATAATTTACAAATATAAAAATATTATTTGGTATGTCTTGTATTTGCCCGCCATTTAAGATGGATTTTTTGTCTGTGTTTCTCATGGAAGAATTGGTTTAGAGTTATGCATTAAAAATAATCTTTAATTTGCAGATCTGTCGTCTCTCCCAATAATACAATTAACGGTAAGTATTATCTGTTGTAATTGGGTTGGGGTGCTGTATAAGTACATGAACACGTTAACTCAAGGTCTGTACATATTATCAACTTCTAGGTATACAGAGTAAAATGTTTGTCAATATGTCGACCAACATGTTATCGAAAGAATGGAAATACAATTCTTATTGATCAACAATTTGGTCAATATGTTGTTACGTAGAAGTTGATAGAGTACACGCTGCTTAGGATGAGCCCATGGGCCGTGTATATGTTTACGGGGCAAAATGTGTGTCAATAGGCGAGCCAAAGAAAGAATGGAAATACAATTCTTGTTGGTCAACATGTTATTGGAGAGTTGATAGTGTATACTCTGATTAAGATGGGTTGATTATATTTTGTACAAATATACGAATACTCACAGGGAGAAACAATAGTCATGTACATTATTACTGTTGAAAAAACTGTTTGAATTCAGCGCAGATATTTCACATGTCATTTTGTCCTGTTATCATTGAGATTCTAAACTGTAGCCTTTATTACAACCCTTGGTTGATAAATCACCCGGATCTAGAACAGGCAACATTATTGGAACAAGAGTGAAAGTAAAAATGGATGGCGTCAGAAAGTATTCGAATCTTGGAGTGGTGTGATCAGAACTTTAGGGATTTTTGTGGGGTTGTCAATGAATGTGTGTCTTTTCTCCTCTTTTATTGTAGAAAGTTCAAATTATGAAGGATTAGAGCTGGATACCAGATATGACAATCAGTATACAAGTTTTAATGTTGTCTCGGTTCCAGACTCGTCTCCTGAACGAGTACAAGAATACGATAACCAAGCTTCCGGTGAGTTGTAAATTTACGTAGCCTCGGATGTTTCTCCAATGGCTCTTTGTGATAATAAAGCCAAAAAGATATACACTCCTCTAATATACAGTTCTGTCTCATCAGAGTTCATAATTATTTACGAATTATTGATGTAAGTTGTTCAGACGCTAGCTGCTCTAACTAGAGTGAAGTTGAGCAAGACCGAAAACCATTTTATTTTTGAGTTCATTAGACATGTGCTTGTAACTATTTATCCTGCGTGATATAAAAACATAAATTGTAACATATGAGTCCGTGGAGAAGTCCTTCCGAAAAACAACGTAAAGGGAAGAATTATCGGATGTGAAGACGGATATTGCTATCTATTTTTGGTGTCGTTTTGCAGACAGTGTAACAAATAGTCGTGTTACACATGTTGGTCGCAATATAATCTATGTATGGCGATGATTGTTAATACCATTACAAACCATTACCAAATATCGCATAGATAAACTAAATATATTTATTAGATTACTGGTTAATTCAGTTGAATGGTTGCTACTATGGTTCTATCTTTAATAGGCTTTTTATAATAATATTTACAGATACTGTCGCTACCAACGGAGATAACTCACTTTATGAAAACGTGGAGAGGGCGCAAGCATGAACGGAATAAAAATCAACATTTGTCGTGAAAGAACAACCGCACATAAATAGCTGAACTGTCTAAACAAAAGCGGAAAATTATATACATGTGTTAGGGTGGGGTGGGTGTACTGTACAATCGCAAAAAGAGAGTGGAAAATCACGTATAGTAGGTACACAGGCTCCGCCTTTATAGAAAACATTTTAAATAGCAGCCTCTGTTGTGGAGTTGTAACAATAGCCCATGGAATTTGACGCTCGCGTACTATATATACGTCACTTATCAGTGTACTGGATTTTATTATTAGTAGATTATTTTAATTTATGCCGACAAACTTGAGATGTACTTTTATCGTATCTAAATTATTAGAACTTATATAAAAACTGATTCAGGACAAATCATGCAATAAATGATATATTTGGTACGTAGTTCATTGATTGTTATACTGTAAATACCTAAGTATTAGATATGTTTATGTTGTAAATTGACTGTCGTCCCTGATTTTATTATTTTTAGAGTAACGTAGTTCATTGATTGTTATACTGTAAATACCTAAGTATTAGTTATCTTTGTGTTGTTAATTGACTTTCGACCCTGATTTTATTCTTGTTAAAAACACCTAAAAGCATCGTCACTCAATTTCTTAGTTTATTACAATAATAAACCACCCAAGCCACATTTTCTGAAAACTTCCATTCTTGTAAACTAGGATTGGGGGAAAACCGGGTTAGCTTGCTGTTACCCTCCGATGTAAACAGAACACGCTTTTTAATAATATCATTGCTTTTCATTTTATAAAATTGTTTTTCATTTTATAAAATTGTTTTTCATTTTAAAAAAAATGTTTTCATTGTATAAATTGCTTTCATTTTTAAAAAAAAAAAAATTGCTTTCATTTTATAAATTGCTTTTTAATTGATTAACAGTAGGACGTCAAACCCCATTTCATTTTAAATGTTTAAATTATTTCATTGTATAAATAATTTTCATTTAATAAATAATTGTTTTGATTTTATAAATTGTTTTTATTGTATGAATTACTTTCATTTTTTTAAAATTGCTTTTACTTTATACCTTTATACATTGTTTTCATTGTATAAATTGTTGTTTTTAATGTATGTTTTAGTTTTTGTGCTGTATATTGTGTTCGGAGTGTTTTTCTTTCATCGACGGTAAAAACGTGAATAGATCCTTATCAGAATGAACTTGAATCGAACAAAACAAACACGTGATCAATAAGAAATCTCGGACAGACAATGCCCCCTTTAAGCTGTCTCGTTAATCGTCTGACTCAGATGTCTCAGAAAGTTAGACCAGGATGTATTGGGTTCACTCCCTTTGTTCGCCGGGAAAATCTTCTTGTCTTCGTGGTGTTGAACAGGTGGACTGACAAGGAATTTTATCTAGTCGTTCGGATGGGACGAACAGTCGAGGTCATGTTTACATATTGGCGTGCACGTAAAAATGGAATTCGAAAAATAAGTAGGACATACTGTAGCTTCCAGACACAATTTCCCTCGTAGAACACTTTATGGCGTATACCCATCTTCATCAGCCCCCAGTCGGTGCTGAAAATTAGGACGTTAACCTGACTCCAGTGACCTGTACAGCTGCTGCCCGGGAAACATCCCCCCTCATAGCACTTTATTGCGTATACCCGTCTTCATTAGCCCAGTTAGTGCAGAACACAAGGACGTTAAGCTCCATTTCATGTCATGGTTGACTCAAGTGTGCCTTACCAGTAAATACGAAAATAAACCAGCACCTAGTTATAAGAATAACATTTATTTTATGTAGGACTGTAATTTTCTATATGGGCACCCATCTGTCCTTTTTGTCCGCGTAAATATCGGTTCTTATTTGTCCATACGGCGCCATTCTCACATCAAATCGGCACCCTTAGGTGCTGGACAGCTAATGTGTATTTAGCACTTTCTTTCCCGCCCTCCTTTACGTTGGACCGGGCCTTCAATCTTGACGGGCCTTTTCTCTTAAGGACATTGGTATGCGAAATAATCCCCACTAGCAGGAGTAGTAAGGACGTAAACTGTCCTGTTGTTTCACATCTGGGTCTCAATTAAATGTTTTATTAAAACCGAGGGGGGGGGGGCTGGTGATGACTGAATGGTTAGCGTGTGCGCGCTGTATCATACAGTCTGACATTGAGTCAACTGGCATGGTTTCGAATCCCCGGCTGTACGTGACAAGGAGTAGGGTCGCATGTCCAACTTCGTGGGTTTTCTCCGGGTCCCTTGAAATAAAATTAAACCATGTGTTAGTCCTGAAATGACCTAGTCTGTGTCGAGTGGACGTTAAACCCCATCTCTCTCTCTCTCTCTCTCTCTCTCTCTCTCTTTATTTAAACCACTGTCATAAAAATTTGTATACTCCTTCATATATCCTCTACCGATTAAATTAATTCACCGTGGATAAATATACAAATGAGTTGAACAGCCATATTATCTCAATATTATGTCCCTTATACCTTACATATGAACAAAACATTTCCGGTTTCGGAGTTATGGGCACAACCCGGGCAGCGCCGGGATCTCCGCTATAGCAAATTATGTCCTTACAATTCATGTGACAAGAGCGGTATTCAACTATTATATTTGTATTCTATTTACTGCATGAACACATATAGTTATTCAACCAATCTCACATTCTATGTTAGTATCTTTGACTTCTATTCAGCATAAAATATTATTGTACATGACCTATATATCAAGCAAGCCAACGAAAACTGACATAAACGTATATAAGCCAAGAACACACGTGCCGGAGTTGGGTGACATCAATAAATGGGTAGATGGATTTTTATATTATTATTATCATTATACAAACCATTTGCATTGCGCACGCTTTTAAAAAAGGTGTTCAGATGTGCTGTATAATATACACGTTAAATATGAGAAATCATACATTTAAGAATCTATAATAATTTAAGAAAACTCTATAAAGTTATAAAAACTCAGACCCTATAAAGTTGTATATATATAAACATACCATTTAGAATTTATAATAATTTAAAACCAAAGTATAGTGGATTTGAAAACTCGATAAAGTTGTATAATAGAGATAGTAAAAAAAGTTTTATAAATCTAAAAAAAAAAGTTTTGAATTGTGATTTGAAACAAGATTAACAGTTAGAACTTTTGAGGACAAATGGGAGTTTATTCTTTTTTTTTTTTACAAAATCTTTATTTCAAAATAATCAATAAAGGCATAGTACATAGTTCACATATTACAATCACAGTGTGTAACATCATACATATAGCGTCGGTTTAATGTTGAAGGCTATACGATATTACATTGAGTAGAACAAATATTATATTCACAAAGAAAGTAAAAGCTAAAAATTAAACAAAAAAATACAAAAATAGCTAGAGGTATCAAGGAATTGGAATACTAGACATGGGAGTTCATTCTACAATTGATGGGCCTGTATTGTAAATGATCAAGCACCATTAGTTTTCTGTCTAGCCGTTTTGCAGACAGGTGAATTATAATTACTCAATGTGAATGTATGAATAGGTGCATACATATCTAAACAAGACGATAAATATAGCGGCGCCATATGATGTAAACATTTATAAATTAAAAGAATGACTTGTATTGATTTATAAAAACAATGGGTGACCAGTGAAGGTGGATTAAAGGAGGTGTTGATATGGTCACTATATTTACTTACGGTTTTTAGCATTGATCTAATCGTTATGTGACTCAACTGGCAGATGTTTACTAATTTTACTACATGTAATACATGTATTCATTAGTTGAAAATAGCAGGGTCTGCAAATATTGCTAATGCAATTTGTTCATCCATGGATAGTTCACTGTCAAAGATAACATCATTGTTACAGACTGAAGATGTGGGTATTATTGTATGCTCGACTACTAAAAGTGAAACACCGTGATCAAGTTTGCAAACTGAACTGCTCGATTCCAAGAGAATATATCCAGTCTTATCGTCGTTCAGTTTGAGGAAATAGATTCCCGTCCAGGTACGAATATCACTAATACACTTTTCAATTTTATATATTGAACTCTCTCATCGGCGTAAAGTTTGAACTGCACAACCATGTTTCTCAAAATATATTTAGACAATGGTGTAGGACCTAAAACTGGGCCCTGGGGCACACCGAAGGTCGGATCTTTTTTGTCAGATTGTTTCTTGTCTGTAATGACAGGAACGGTTAACTACTATTTAAGTTTATTAAGAGCTAAACCCATTACACCAAGACACAAGAGCAGCACCTTGTGGTCAACAGTATCAAATGCGGCTCAAAGATCTAAAATCAGTAATAACACACAGCTTTGATTATCAATCGACAAGAGGATGTCATTTTATACGTTTTAACAAATCATATTTGTACTGTGGTGTTTATGGTGATGGCTGAGACGGTTAAATTCAAGATGAAGACTGGTAATTATTGCAATTATTGGACGTTGTTAAGATATTTATAGCAAGTACCCCCGCCCTTTCAACTTTCCCTACGGATGTATTATTTATGCCCCATTTTGTCTAGGATCAAAAAGTAAAGACATTGACATCACGGCCTATAAATACACAAATCTTGAGAGTTATCAGATTATTGTGACGTAGTGGGATATTTCGTGTGGTTATAAAGATTAAGATTATCCGAATGTTTAATGGGGAGAGAACTACCAGTCTCGAACCTTATCCTTATAATAACATCCACTATTGCCTAGTCGAATGCTGTACTAATTAACTCTGTATTATATCATCTACTTTTGCTGGCCTAACATGGAATATATTTAGTCAAACCTTTGACTATCAGAACTTACAAACGGACATAAGGGGTAGACGATGAGGTATATAAATACGTCAAGCAGCTGGCGTGCAAAATGTGAAAAAAAAATTAGATATATAAATTCAAACTTTAGCTTTAAGTTAAAGGAGTTAAGCATTGTATCTTCGTGTGATGTTAGCCTTAGTCCCTAGTATGTTTTTCTTCACTGTCGTATAGACTACATGTATGGATATAGATATACATTATTAAGTTTCAATATGACATCATAAAAATACCTATAGTATACATTTTACTTCCTTTTTGTCATGAATATATTTCAATAACACGCTATATTATTCACTCCTCAAAATGATGAATACGTTGGTGATATTGGTGGCATTCTGTCTTTCTGTCTGTTCCATCAGTGAAGGTATGTAACAGTTCTTTTGGGAAAGGTTGTATGGTTGCCATACATTAAGTCATATAGTCAGTCGGATAGCTATGGTCCTGATGGGGGATATTAACCTGTCAGTGAAGTACGGTATCATTACTACTTTCAATACGTACTGTTAAATCATATTCGTGCCAAGCAAACGGCTGTCATACCTTCAGTCATATAGTCAGTCGGGTAGCTATGGGCCTGATAGGAGATATTTACCTATCAGTCGGGTAAGGTATCATTTACACGTAGGCGGTATATTACATTCAAAATTCTAAATTTCTTAATGTCACGCTATCGTCTAAACCTTTATTCGTGCAATTTCTAAATTAAGACAATGTATAATCCAACTTCTGTATTTGTTCAGCGTAAATGTTGCAATTTATTCTAGTTTGCTATTTCTGTTATTAAAATGAAACCAGTTCTCTTCATTGAAGCTTTACATGTTTAGTACGAATATCGAACAAATTATGAATTGCGACGCCTTTACACATCCCCGGTGAGTTTCCGGCAGGGTAAACAAAAGTACACGGGAGTTGAACATTTGGCATCAAAAATATCAAAAAATTTAAATCGCCTATAGAGGGCTTTTTCCATGGTGAGTCAATAACTATTTTCTTAAATTTTTACAAGGCTAGCACATGAAACACGCTCGATATTTTTGTCGCAATCGGAATGAATGAAATGAAATGGTGTTTAACGCCCTACTGTTCTGTTCCGACTGGGTTTATGAAGACGGGCATACGCCATATACTGTGCTATGAGGGAAATAGTGCCCGGACAGAGGCACGCCTACTCTTATGTCGAATTCCAACTGATCTTTTACGTGGACGCCAATGGTTTACACGGGACCTGGGTTTTTCGTCCCGTGGAACGACTAGACAGCTGTCCATGTCAGGTCCTCCGTACTGCACCACTGAGGGGATCGAACATCCGACCTCCAGGCTAGCGAGCCAGCGTCTTACCCACTTATCCACCGTTGTTGCATTATGGAAACATGAGATATTCAGAACACATTATGATAAATGATCATTTTTTCAACTGTAGTTATATTTATTCATTTATACGATTATTTCTGTCAACAATTCTGGCGTCATTCGCAAAAGTCACTCATTCAATTTCGTAAACATCTTTATTATATCAAATATGACGAGAGCAATAAACATTTGTGGATGCTAGTAATTTCGCAGCGTACTCGTGTCTCGCTTGAAGCCCCCGGTCTCCCAGAGTGCTTTAAAGTCGCTGTATTGACAAAGTCCCCGGGCTGGAGTATATATATATATATATATATATATATATATATATATATATATATATATATATATATTAAAGTAAATAAAGTACAAGTACTTCTTTGTTTACGGTAGATAAATGCATAAATAAAAAACAAATCTGTCCAGATAAAAAATTCTCCACTTTACTTCATTCTGACATACATTAAATCATATAAGCTAGCTGTCTGCCTTCTATAGGCGTCGTCAGATATTAATATATATATATATATATATAGGTACAACCCTATGCTTGATCATTCCCACTTGGACCCAAATCTGTTAGTAATTGACACCCGCCGAAAGGGAACAGGGTGTGTGTGTGTCGGGGGAGGGGGACGTGCACCAATATTCATAGTTGCCATCCGTAGGGTATAAGGAATAAGTATACCAAGTTCCAAGATAATCAATTCAAAAATTTGGCCTTCGGGCGCTAAAGGCACAAATGGGGCGTGGCGCTGACCCTGGGGGTCAGGGCATGCACGAAAATCAATAGTTGCCGCCTATAGGCTATACGGAATACATATGCCAAGTACCAATCTGATTTATTCAGAATTGCAGTCTGTATACGATAAACACAAATATTGGATGTGACTCTGCCCCTGGGGGTCGGGACATGCAACACACAGAGACACAAAGAAAAATGGGCGTGACCCTACTCCCGGGGGTCGGGAATCGCGAAAATACAATAGGGATCATCCTTGGGGTATAAGGAATAAACATGAATAGTTTTCAAGACGACCGATTAACAATTGTGGCGATACACAAACACACAAAAAGAAAATGGCCGTGGCTCTGTCCTTGGGAGTTGGGCATGCACCACAATAGGGATGTTCCTTAGGGTATAAAGAATAAGTATACACAGTTTCAAGATAATATGTTAAGAAATGCAGCCTGTAGACGAAAAACAAACAAATACAAGAAATGGGCGTGACTCTGCCCCTCGGGATCAGACATGCACCAAAAACAATAGGGATCATCCTAAGGATATGAATAAGTATGTAAAGCTTCAAGACGATCATTCACATGTGGACGTATAAAAAGGGGGATGATTACAGCTTCATTTTCAGTCATTTCATTCAACTGTGGATACAATTACTAGGTAGGGTCTCAAGACAACACCAGTATTCCCGAAACAAATTCATACATGATTCCACTTATCCTCCTTAGATACATTCTTGACTTATTTTTAAAGAATTGACCCCAAGATTTTGTTTGAATTTTGAAGGGCTTCTTGTCTTAATAATCATATTACGTGACAAAACAACATTTGATGAAAATTAGATAACACTTTGCATATTAATTTTGACCTCGGTATTGTGTTAACGCCTAGGGGGATAGGGGTAATGTTCTAGTGGAGCATATGTTAAAAACTAGGATAACGTCCATGAGATGAGATTTGGGAAACCCTAGAGTGACCTCGGTGTTGAATTTACAAAACAGTGAGTTAGTGTTAAATTTTAAGGTAAATTATAAAGTACAAAATCGAGTTGTAACTGCTTGCATTGCTTCACATGAATCTTATAATTATACGTTTGAATTTAATATGCGCCATAGCTTAGTCTTGGGTGGGCCTCATCAAATCAGGCAACTATTATTTATTTTGAGTTTTACAGGTTTAAACAAGATTACTGTGGAGCCATCTGATGTGGTGGAGGGCGAACCAGTTACACTTACATGTATACTTAGTACACCTATCTTTGAAGGTATCATGTGGTATAGAAATAGTACGATTGTTGCAAGATGTCTATTTAAAGACTGTGATGACACCTATTCTTATTATAACACCACGATTAACCGTTTAAACATAACATCTAGTATCTATATACAAAACGTGTTGAAATCAAGAGATAGTGTTCCTTGGAAATGTCAAGAGAGTTACCTCGGAATTTCTGCCATAAATACACTCGATGTTAAAGGTAATGATATTATCAATATTATACCTGACCTACTGCAATAAAAACTATCCTGGTGGCGATTTGAAGAGTAGATTATTGTTTATATCTATACTAATATTGTCCCAAGGCTGTAGTTTGGTGTATAACGGTACCTCGGACCGGGGAGCAACATAGGCCTGATGGCGTTGACCTACCGCTTCAGGGTTCAGAGTTATAGGCACAACGCGTGCAGCACGTGGTCATCCGCTAGGTCACTTATATTTACATAATACTATGTAAAAGACAATACTTTCCTTGATATTTTATGTTGATAGTCAAATGGCCATCAACAGGCGTTGAAAAACACCGACGGATCAAATAACAAAATTACCATATTAATATATTTTGAGGGGCTGGTGGATTTATATCGGGTCTTTGAGGAGGAAGGTGTTGGCGGTGGGATAATTTTCATCTCGTTTTGGAAAACTGCAGCCAATCAAACAACCGAAATTGTCTAATTCAAACATTACAATACCAAATTAATTTTTTTCTTTTGTTTTTGTGATTTTTATCGTTTTAGAACTAACTGGAAACTTGTCATTAATTCGTTCAGAACACCCAAGATTTATTGCTGGTCAGCCCAAAGATATAACGTGTAAGACGGAAGTGACGTACCCTACAACCAACATCACGTGGTACATAGACACTGCAGATAATAAGCTATATGAAGATATAACAACGGATATTGAGGATGGAGTATCAACAAGCAGACTAACACTGGACAAACATCTGAATAATCACACTCTTTATTGTTCAGCTTTTAATGGTTATGGCAAAGTTCAAACGGATTTTCTCAAACTGGATGTAATGTGTAAGTTCAAAATCTAAAAGTTACAAGCTTTGCCTATGGCTAAATATATTTTCAAATCAGCCAGATATGTCATCGCTTTAATCTTATTTGGAACTTTAGAATAAACTTCAGAAGGAAATTACATATAGATACCCTGATAAATTAATAATTACAAATAACCATAACAACTAAGACATTCCGAATAAACAAGACGCAAGTTAAACCCATAAACCTTTAGAGAAACGAATCTCTATATTACTAATTGTTGCCCAGCCAATATGGGGAGTTGGTTGGCTCAATGGGTTAACATGTACGCTTTTAAACCATTTAATCAAACGTTTTGTGGAATTGTTAGATATGAAACTAATAAATTGATAATAACCTTTATGTCTGCATCTCCATATGCTGACGTTTTCAAATTGGAAGTGAGTTTTTATTTTAGGATTTTCAACTTTTTTTTATTAGATCCACCCACTATACATATTGTAACAGAAGCAGCTTCCATAGCCATTGCTGAAGGGGGACAACTCTTATTGACATGTTCTGTTCAAGACACCAACCCTCGAGTACCACCACATGGTTATACTTGGAGTAGAAATGGTATAAAGCTGATAGATCAAACATCAAATATATTTAAAGTGGATTCAACATCGTCGTGCGACACCGGTAACTATACCTGTACGGGTAACAATGGTATTGGAACAGGTATATCATCACCTGTAATGGTTTATGTTTTTTCACGTGTTTGCGAAGATAAGTCTGGAGTTGTCACTGGACTCGCTGTGGGTTTGACTTTGTTTATGGTATTGTCCATTATACTCTCCTTACTGGTAGCATATCTGATGTTAACCATTAGGTCAACAACCAAACCTAAAGGTAAGCATACTGACTTATTGTATCTGAAATGAACCATAAGGTCAACAACCAAAACTAAAGAAACACAATGTTATTCCCCATAACAAAAGAAATGAGATGCAATGGAGTTTAACGTCCTACTTTTCTGTTTCAGCACCGGCTGAGCTAATAAAGACGGGCGTACGCCATATAGTGTGCTATAAGGGACAATTTGCCCCGACGACGGCACTACGCTATACGGTCTCCACTTATTTTGAATTCAAACTGACAATACCAACTGTCAATGGTCCTTGTACGTAGACACCAACGTATATACATTACCTCGGTATTTTGTACCATCCGAACGGCTAGACAAGGGGAAGCTAGGGTGGAAAATCCAAACAAAAGAAAAGCAACAGACATATATATAATTAATGGACCACGATGTTCATTGGTGCTTATATTTATAATAGACCGGATAATAATCTTGGGGTGTACGAGCCTTTACACATATTTTTTTATAAGGCTATATGGGCAGACGAGGTAGTTTTTTGCCTGATCGCCCCGATTAAAATTCACCAGCGATTTTTTACGAACGGGCACTTGTAGCGATCGTCTCGAGATTGTACGTCACACATTCTTCGAGTAAATTACGTCGATCATGTGACTTGTTCTACAGGGCGAATCGCCGAAATCTTAAGATTGCTGTTGTAGCTTGATATTTATTTGATAGAAATAACACGCAGAATACCTAGAAGGGTTCCATGGACAAATCGCAACTTGTAGTACAGGAGTTTGAAGCCACGCTTTAGCAGTGGAGGCAGACATTTTGAGATCATATAACATCAATCATGTCTCCGATTGGCTTATATAAGTTATTCGCCCAACAATATACGCTGGACACGGGCACATGAGCGAATTTCATCGCCCGCGAAAAATATCGAACGAAAATATCTAACATGCAGAATCGTCGTCACCGTGAAAGGACACAAGAGCGATTTTAAAAATCGACGCGATCGGGCGAGAAAATACGCACGTCTGTCCCCCACTTGAGGTTCCTTGTAGTATCCACTGTCATAATGTAATATTATGTGACTAATTTTAATCACGAAAGTGATAAAATAATTTTAAAGTTTTTTTTTATTTTTGTTTTAGAATCCGATGAAATGAGTAGAATTACGTGAGTAACATGATATATTGAATCTAAATCATTAATTATAATTATATAATTTTATAGTCATTGAAGTAATGTTGTACAACATACATGTACAAACATTTTAAATTTGAAATATCTGTTCTGTATTCAGTATGTTTGAAGAGAAGGAGGAGAGGTGGGGTATCGAGCAGTAACTACTGCACAGTACAAAGTATATAAATAACATGTTCCATCCTGGAACCCGCCAAAACACATACTCAAAATACACATGGTAGCGTAATACTACAACATAAACATAGTATTAAGTTCGGTCGTTATAAATAATAATTTACAAATATAAAAAAATTATTTGGTATATGTCTTGTATTTGCCCTCCATTTAAGATGGATTTTGTGTTCTATATTTCTCATGGGATATGCATTAAAAATAATCTTCTATTTTACAGACCTGTAACCTCGCCCAATAATACAATTAACGGTAAGTATTATCTGTTGTAATTGGGTTGGGGTGCTATATGGAATCTGATAAGTACATGAACCCCTTAAGCCATGGTCTGAACACACTATCAACATCTAGGTGTACAGAGTAAAATGTTTGTCAATATGTCGACCAACATGTTGTCGAAAGAATGGAAATAAAATTATTGTTGATCAACAAGGCATGTAGGTTTGTACTGTTGAACAAACTGAATTCAGCGCCGATATTTACATTTTGTCCTGTTATCATTGAGATTCTAAAGTGTTTTTGAATTTGGTGGATGCGAAATCAAACAGACGTTTTGCAAGAAATCCAAACATTTAAACAATAATAAAACCAGAGGTAATTTGGGAGAATCTATCAATCACAGACTGAGCTGTAAATCACCCGTATCTAGAACACGCGACATTACTGGAACAAAATTGCAAGTAGAAATGGGTGGCAACAGAACATTCGACTTGCATACCACGTGTTCGAATCTTGGCGTGGGCGGAGAAGAACTTAAGAGCTTTTTGAGGGGTTGTTAATGAAAGTGTTTCTTTTCCCCGCGTGGCGTGGGCGGAGAAGAATTTATGGGCTTTTTGAGGGATTGTTAATGAAAGTGTTTCTTTTCCCCATTTTTATGGTAGAAGTTTCCAATTATGATGGATTAGAGCTGGGTAGCAGAGATGCCAATCAGTATACAAGTATTAATGTTGCCTCGGTTCCAGACACGTCTCCTGAACAAATACAAGAACACGATAACCAAGCTTCCGGTGAGTTATAACTCTACGTAGCCTCGGATGTTTCTCCAATGGCTCTTTGTGATAATAAAGCCAAATAGATATACACTCCTCTAATATACAGTTATGTCACATCAGAGTTCATAATTATTTACGAATTATTGATGTAAGTTGTTCAGACGCTAGCTGCTCTAACTAGAGTGAAGTTGAGCAAGACCGAAAGCCATTTTATTTTTGAGTTCATTAGACATGTGCTTGTACCTATTTATCCTGTGTGATATAAAAACATAAATTGTAAAATATGAGTCCGTGGAGAAGTCCTTTCGAAAAACAACGAAAAGGGAAGAATTATCGGATGTGAAGACGGATATTGCTATCTATTTTTGGTGTCGTTTTGCAGACAGTGTAACAAATAGTCGTGTTACACATGTTGGTCGCAATATAATCTATGTATGGCGATGATTGTTAATACCATTACAAACCATTACCAAATATCGCATAGATAAACTAAATATATTTATTAGATTACTGGTTAATTCAGTTGAATGGTTGCTACTATGGTTCTATCTTTAATAGGCTTTTTATAATAATATTTACAGATACTGTCGCTACCAACGGAGATAACTCACTTTATGAAAACGTGGAGAGGGCGCAAGCATGAACGGAATAAAAATCAACATTTGTCGTGAAACAGCAACCGCACATAAATAGCTGAACTGTCTAAACAAAAGCGGAAAATTATATACATGTGTTAGGGGGGGGGGAGGGGTGTACTGTACAATCGCAAAAGAGAGTGGAAAATCACGTATAGTAGGTACACAGGCTCCGCCTTTATAGAAAAAAAAATAAATAGCAGCCTCTGTTGTGGAGTTGTAACAATAGCTTGTGGAATTTGACGCTCGCGTACTATATATACGTCACTTATCAGTGTACTGGATTTTATTATTAGTAGATTATTTTAATTTATGCCGACAAACTTGAGATGTACTTTTATCGTATCTAAATTATTAGAACTTATATACAAACTGATCTAGGATAAATCTTGCAATAAATGATATATTTGGTACGTAGTTCATTGATTGTTTTACTGTAAATACCTAAGTATTAGATATCTTTATGTTGTAAATTGACTTTCGACCATGATTTTATTATTTTTAGAGTAACGTCCCATTGTTTACTCTTATTAAAAACCCCTTAAAGCATCGCCACTCAATTTCTTAGTTTATTACAATAATAAACCACCCAAGCCACATTTTCTGAAAACTTCCATTCTTGTAAACTTGGATTGGGAAAAACCGGGTTAGTTTGTTGTTACCCTCCGATGTAAACAGGACACGCTTTAATAATATCATTACAATAATATCATTGCTTTTCATTTTATAAAATTGTTTTTCATTTAAAAGAAAATGTTTTCATTGTATAATAAATTGCTTTCATTTTTTTTAAATTGCTTTCATTTTATACATTGCTTTTTAATTGATTAATAGTAGGACGTCAAACCCCATTTCATTTCATTTCATTTTAATTGTTTAAATTGTTTTCATTGTATAAATAATTTTCATTTAATAAATTGTTTTGATTTTATAAAATGTTTTTATTGTACGAATTACTTTCATATTTTTAAATTGCTTTTATTTTATACATTGTTTTAATTGTTTTCATTGTATAAATTGTTGCTTTTAATGTATCTTTTAGTTTTTGTGCTGTATATTGTTTTCGGAGTGTTTGTCTTTCATCGACGGTAAAAACGTGAATAGATCCTTACCAGAATGAACTTGAATCGAAGAAAACAAACACGTGGTCAATAAGAAATCTCGGACAGACAATGCCCCCTTAAGTTGTCTCGTTTATCGTCTTACTCAGATGGCTCAGTAAGTGAGACGCTAACTCGCCAACCAGGGAGTGTTGGGCTCACTCCCTTTGTTCGCCGAGAAAATCTTCTTGTCTTCTTAGTGTTGAACGGGTGGACTGACAAGGAAAATTATCTAGTCTTTCGGATGAGACGAACAACCGAGGTGCTGTTTACATATTGGCGTGCACGTAAAAATGGAATTCGAAAAATGGGTAGGACGTACTGTAGCTATCCGGACATAATTTCCCTCGTAGCACACTTTACGGCGTTTATCCATCTTCCTTAGCCCAGTCGGTTCCGAAAATTAGGACGTTAATCTGACCCAAGTGTGTTGTACAGCTGCTGCCCGGGCAACATCCCCCCTCATAGCACACTTTATTGTGTATACCGGTCTTCATTAGCCCAGTTAGTTCAGAACACTAGGACGTTAAACCCCATTTCATGTCATGGTTGACTCAAGTGTGCCTTACCAGTAAATACGAAAATAAACCAGCACCTAGTTATAAGAGTAACATTTATTTTTATGCACAACTGTAACTTTCTATATGGGCGTCCATCTTTCCTTTTCCGCGTGAATAGAAGTTTTTATTTGTCACATTAAATCGGAACCCTTTGGTGCTGGACAGCTAATTTGTATTTAGCACTTTCTTTCCCACCCCCCTTTACGGGCCTTCAATCTTCATGGTCTTTTTCTCTTAGGGACATTGGTATGCGATATAATCCCCACTAGCAGTAACGACGTAAACTGACCTGTTGTCTCACATCTGCGTCTCAATTAAATGATTTATTTAAACCACTGTCATAAAAATTGTAATCTACCCCGTATCCTCTCCGATTAAAATAATATGCATAAGTTGAACAGCCATAATTGAGATTTTTGGCAAGCGTAATTTCCTGGTCCGTATCGCTTATCCGTATCAATGTCTGTGTATTTCTCATACGTGATACGGCACACGGATACGGCAGCACGTATGGAACGGCTTTCATACGGAAATGGTCCGTATAACACTGTCGTCTTCTTACCGTCGTTTTTGCTACTTTTAGACGCTGAAATGTGGCATCATAGCGTTTTTATGAATCTTTGTGTATCCTAGAACACGAAGGTGTATATTTGATGTGATTTTAACAGTGATAACGACTGCAATTTAATCATTATTTTTGATGGGTTGTTCTCGGAATTTTCATATTTTTCTCGCCTGTCTGCATACTGGTTGATCTACGGGCTAAACTTTCTGAAATGATACATTAGTGAAACCAAAAATTTCTAAAATCTGCCAAAACTCTAAAACTACATTGACGCAACGTATCACGTATACGATACGGATACGGGATACGGATGGGAAAAATCCGCTTGCCAAAAGTCTCTATTATCTCAACACTACGTCCCTTATACCTTACACCCGAACAAAAGATGTCATTTTTAGAGGTATTGACGTGAAGTTCAGCTCCAGTAGCTTCTTTATATATATATATATATATATATATATGTGTCAATGTTACTATCCCTCTTTCAATACGAATATTTGTGACCGGGGACAACCCGGGCAGATCCGGGATCTCAGCTATTGTCTTATATAGCAAACTATGTCCTTACAATACATGTAACAAGAGATGTATTCAACTAATATATTGTATTATATTTACTGCATGAACACATATAGTTATTCAACCAATCTCACATTCTATGTTAGTATCTTTGACTTGTATTCAGCATAAAATTTTATTGTACATGACCTCCTATATCAAGCAAGCCAACGAAAACTGACATAAACGTATATAAGCCAAGAACACACGTGCCGGAGTTGGGTGACATCAATAAAGGGGTAGATGGATTATTATATTATTATTATCATTATAAAAATCACTTGCATAGCGCACGCTTTTAAAAAAGTGTTTAGATGTGTTGTACAATATACACGTTAAATATGAGAAATCATACATTTAAGAATCTATAATAATTTAAGAAAACTCTATAAAGTTATAAAAACTCAGACCCTATAAAGTTGTATAAATATAAACATACAATTTAGAATTTATAATAATTTAAAACCAAAGTATAGTGGATTTGAAAATTCGATAAAGTTGTATAATAGAAATAGTAAAAATAAATTTATAAATCTAAAGCTTGTCTAACTAAAGAACAAATCAATTGTGATTTAAAACAAGATAAACAGGTAGAACTTCTGAAGACAAATAGGAGCTTATTCCACAATTGATGGGTCTGTATTGTAAACGATCAAGCACCGTAAGTTAATAAATGTTAATACATATTAGCATGTTAATAAATTCAGACGTATTATATCCATATAAGTGTTTTTAGTCTGTATTTTGTCTTTATAAAGAATATCAGAAGTTAAAAACGGACAGAAGGGATACAAGATGAGGTATATAAATATGTCAAACAGGAGGCGTGCAAAATGTGAAGATTAAATGAGTTAGGCATTGTATCTTCGTGTGATGTTAGCCTTAGTCCCTAATATGTATTCCTGCACTGTCGTATAGGCTACGTGTATGGATATAGATATACATTATTAAGTTACATCAATATGACATAATAAAAATACTTATAGTTTATATTTTACTTCTTTTTTGTCATGAAAATATTTCAATAACACACTATATTATCAACTCCTCAACATGATGAACACGTTGACGATATTGGTGGTATTCTGTCTTTCTGTCTGTTCCATCAGTGAAGGTATGTAACAATTCTTTTGTGAAAAGTTGTATGGTTGCCATACATTCAGGCATATAGTTAGTCGGGTAGCCATGGGGCTGATGGGAGATATTAATCTGTCAGTGAAGTAAGGTATCATTATTACTTTCAATACGTACTTTTAAATCATAGTCGTGCCACGCAAACGGTTGTCATACCTTCAGTCAGTCATATAGTCAGTCGGGTAGCTATGGGTCTGATAGGAGATATTTACCTATCAGTCGGGTAAGGTATTATTGCTACTTGTATTTCAATACGAGTTGTCGGGTCTAAAAAACCCTGAAGTAGTAACGAATATACACGACATTTCATCGAATTTACACGTAGGCGGTTTAATATGGCGGTATATTACATTCAAAATTCTAAATTTCTTAATGTCACGCTATCGTCTAAACTTTTATTCGTGCAATTCCTAAATTAAGACCATGTATGATCCAACGTCTGTATTTGTTCAGCGTAAATTGTGCAATTTTATTCTAGTTCATGCTAGTTCTGTTATTAAAATGATAACAGTTCTCTTCATTGAAGCTTTACATGTTTATCATGAGCATCGATCAAATTATGAATTGCGACGCCTTTACACAAAAATGAAAATCGCCTATAGAGGGCATTTTCCATGGTGAGCCAATAACTATTTCCTTAAGTTTTTACAAGTCTAGCACATGAAACACGCTCGATATTTTTGTCGCAATCGGAATGAATGAAATGAAATGGTGTTTAACGTCCTACTGTTCTGCTATGAGGGAAATTTTACCCAGACAGCGGCACTTTTCTTATATCGAATTCCAAATGTCAAGGGATCTTCAAAGTGCAAGCCAATGTGTACACGGGACCTCGGTTTTTCGTCTCATCCGAACGATTAGAGAGCTGTCCTTATCAGGCCCTCCGTCCTGCATCACTGATAAGGGGGAATCACGCCGGAAGATCTGGATGAACCTTCTCGGCCAATGCAGGGATCGAACCCGACCTCCAGGCTAGCGAGCTAGCGTCTTATCCACTTAGTCACCATGACACCCAGGGGTCATCCTTAGGGTATAAGGAATAAATATGAAAAGTTTTCAAGACGATCGATTAAGATTTGTGGCCCTAGAAGACACACAGACACACAAAAAGAAAATGGGCGTGACTCTGCCTCTGGGGGTTAGGCATGCATTACAATCAATAGGGGTGTTCCTTAGGGTTTAAAGATGATATGTTAAGAAATGCAGTCTGTAGACGAAAAACAAACAAATACAAGAAATGGCCGTCACTCTGCCCCTGTGGGTCGGGCATGTACCATCAATAGGGTATAGTTTCAAGACGATCACTTAAGAATTGCGGCCTGTAGGCGACACACAGACACACAGACACACATGCTCACAGACAGGGGGGGGGGCGGCAATATACGTCCACATTACAGCTTCATGTTCAGTTATTTCATTCAACTGTCTTAATAATCATATCACGCGAAAGAATAACAACATTTGATGAAAATTAGGGTTTAAAGTATAAGTATGCAAAGTTTCAAGATGATATGTTAAAGTAGCTAAGTCTCTAACTCAATATCATCCAAAATCTTCGACATTGAAAACACGATTTATTTGTCGGTTTAAATCAACATTGATGTTGTGATCTTAACGGGAAAAGATAGCCTTCTGATATCCAATATTTAAGACAAAATAAACATTTTACAATTAGTACACGAATCGTGTACTATAATGCGTTTCAGCCCTATTTGTAATAAGGGACTCGAAAAACGAGGCTAGGCATATTCCACAAGTTATGTCAAACGGTGACGCTATATTCTTATCTGGAGAGCATTGCAAATAAATACTATCGGCGTAGACTGGAATAACCAGACGCTAGAGATTGAAATTCGATTCAGAATACTGGCGTATTTCGCCGAACCTAACTGATTAGAAATTACAGTAAAAACAGAAACGATTGAATTTAAATCAATTTATATACATTCATACTACATTCTTGTATGCGTTGCGACCCATTTGTGTCAATTTCTAGGTCCCAAATATTAGCGACTTAGCTCCTTTAAGAAATGCAGCCTGTAGACGAAAAACAAACAAATACAAGAAATGGCCGTCACTCTGCCCCTGTGGGTCGGGCATGTAGATAACACTTCGCATATTACTTTTGACCTCGGTATTGTGTTAACGCCTAGGAGGATAGGGGTAATAATGCACCTTTATAGAAAACCTTTTAAATAGCACCCTCTGTTGTGGAGTAAGAATAGCCCATGGAATTTGACCCCCGCGTACTATATATACGTCACATATCAGTCAGTACCCAATAAAAGTACAGGATTTTATTATTAGCAGATTATTTTAATTTATGCTTAGTCGACAAACTTAGCCGTACTTTAATCGGATCTAAATGATTAGTCGACAAACTTAGCCGTACTTTAATCGGATCTAAATGATTAGTCGACAAACTTAGACGTACTTTAATCGGATCTAAATGATTAGTCGACAAACTTAGCCGTACTTTAATCGGATCTAAATGATTAGAACTTACATAAAAACTAATCATGGACAAGTCACGTGGTTCATTGATTGTTTTACTGTAAATACATCAGTATTAATTATCTTTGTTGTAAATTGGCTTTCACGTGTGTGTCTAACCCCGATTTCATTTTTTTAGAGTAACGTCGCCTTATTTACTCTTTAGGGTCTTAACGACCGCTTAAAGATGCATTATGTAAGAGTTAAATCGTCCTATTACAAATGAAATGAAATGAAATAAAATGGGGTTTTACGAGCTACTGTTCTGCTCCGAAATGAAATGGGGGTTTAACGTCCTACTGTTTTGCTCCGAACTGGGCTAATGAAGAAGGACATACGCCAATCAGTGTGCTATGAGGGAAATTTTGCCCGGACAGCGGGACTACGGCCTACTCTTAAATCGAATTCCAACTGTCAAGTGATCTTTTAACTGAACTCCAATGTGTACACGGGACCTTGGTTTTTCGTCTCATCCGAACACCCGACCTCCAGGCTAGAGAGATGTGTCTACGATATCACCTTAGGTGGAAGTGGACGTAAAACCTTAGGAACGAACGAACGAAAGAGAGAGATGGGGTTCAACGTCCACTCGACAGGGTCGTTTCGGGACTAACACATGGTTCAATTTTATTTCAATAGTTCGCTTGCGCTTAGGGGTCTTTAGCAGTGGAGGGAAACCGGAGGAACCGGAGAAACCCACGAGGCTGGACAGGCGACCCTACTCCTTGTCACGTACAACCGGGGAATCGAAACCACACCAGTTGACTAAATGACAGACCTCATGATAGGGCCATCCAACCCCCCACGAAATAAATAATTATTTATGCATATGCGATATCATCCCACTAGTAGTAATCGTAAGGACTAAACTCTCCTGGCGTCTCACATCGGGGTCTGAAAATGTTTTATATACAAACTACTATCATAAAAATCTGTAATCTACCCCTTTATATATCCTCTCTGATTAAATTAATTCCCTGTGGATAAATATACATGTGCATGAGTTGAATGTGTCAATGTCAATTAGTAATTGATCTGGAAAGAGAGGGGGTACAATTCTATGCAGTTAGTATATAGGCACACGTCTTTACAAATCGCCCCGTCTTCATTAGCCCAGTAGGAACAGAACAGTAGGACGTTAAACCTCACATCATTTCATTTCATTTCATTTCTTTACAAATCGAAGCATTACTGTATATGTTATCTTATATACACCCGAATAAAACATGTTATTTTTACAGGTATTGTCGTGACGTTCAGCTGCATTACTATTTTTACCTGTATATATAAATAGTAGTCAATTATCTGGGTCGTGTCAATGTACCTCTTCAACACGACTAGTTTAATGTTTAATATCTTTTCTATAACAAACAATGTCCTTATTCTATTATAATTACTATGCGAATTATTCAACAATCCCACATACTATGTCAGTACCTTTGACTTGTATTCAGCAGACCAACCCTGGACACAGAATTGAGTCATACGAAACCCTGGCATCTAATCTCCCAATAGAAAAGACACGGAAGATAATGGAGGCAATACAAATCAGAAGGAACAGCCCAGATCTTAACCGTGACACAGGGATATTTTTGCCCAATGCGTATGATCAACTAATTTAAATAATAGCATGGTTCCACCACCACTCCTTAAAAACTGTACAAGTGTGCTGTGTGTTATCTTTTGACTAGTTATTGTATTTACTATCGTTCTATATTCATTGTTATAAATTGTTTTTGTTTTTACATTAAATCTATATCTCTATTGCATATCTAATTATCCTATCATAAAATTACAAGTGTTAATAGATATGTGCAATGAAATAACAGTTATATTTAATCTACCCTTCATCATGTTACATTTATCTGTTGTATATACTCCATTGCCTTTATTTATTGTCTTAACTATAATAATAATCACCTCCCATATTCGGTTAATATCGCAACTACTTAGTCAGCTTATTGATCGTTTAACATAGCGGTTTCTTTTCTTACTTTTGTATATTGTTACCAAATTGTGTCACAACCCTTTGATCTAATTGTTTTAAGGTATGGTTTCCATTTTTGTTGTTAAGACATCCTCACTGGCCATGGACTATAAGTTAATTAACTCTCTATTTGCTATTTTATCTTAATAAGTGTTGGTGTAGGCCTTTGATCATGTTGTTGCTATGTATGGTTTCGGTTATGTTGTTGTATTTTGTCTATATATATTTGCCTCATACCTGTTTTACTGTATTAGCTTGATGACGTTGAGAGAATACTCTACGAAACGTCGCCTTAAATACACTAGTAGCTGTTTTCCATAAGTATGTGTTTTGTTGTTATGAATCTTATAATTATCCACTAATAATAAACTCAAAGGTAGATAGAATATACTAAATATGGATAATTACAATGAGTTTCAGTTTTAAAGTTTAATATTTTTTTTAAAAATTGTAATATTGTCGCTAAGCCCGAAGATCAGATTAAGGAGTCCAGGGTTATGTCTTTTACTGACACAAACTCTAACACTAGCATTAACTTTTGTTCTGACCTCACCCAATGTATCAATTTAGAAAGTTAGAAGTTAGACGCCATAAAAAAATTATACGTTTGAATTTAATATGCGCCATAGCTTAGTCTTGGGTGGGCCTCATCAAATCAGGCAACTATTATTTATTTTGAGTTTTACAGGTTTAAACAAGATTACTGTGGAGCCATCTGATGTGGTGGAGGGCGAACCAGTTACACTTACATGTATACTTAGTACACCTATCTTTGAAGGTATCATGTGGTATAGAAATAGTACGATTGTTGCAAGATGTCTATTTAAAGACATTATTATAACACCACGATTAACCGTTTAAACATAACATCTAGTATCTATATACAAAACGTGTTGAAAACAAGAGATAGTGTTCCTTGGAAATGTCAGGAGAGTTACCTCGGAATTTCTGCCAGAAATACACTCGATGTTAAAGGTAATGATATTATCAATATTATACCTGACCTACTGCAATAAAAACTATCCTGGTGGCGATTTGAAGAGTAGATTATTGTTTATATCTATACTAATATTGTCCCAAGGCTGTAGTTTGGTGTATAACGGTACCTCGGACCGGGGAGCAACATAGGCCTGATGGCGTTGACCTACCGCTTCAGGGTTCAGAGTTATAGGCACAACGCGTGCAGCACGTGGTCATCCGCTAGGTCACTTATATTTACATAATACTATGTAAAAGACAATACTTTCGTTGATATTTTATGTTGATAGTCAAATGGCCATCAACAGGCGTTGAAAAACACCAACGGATCAAATAACAAAATTACCATATTAATATATTTTGAGGGGCTGGTGGATTTATATCGGGTCTTTGAGGAGGAAGGTGTTGGCGGTGGGATAAATTTCATCTCGTTTTGGAAAACTGCAGCCAATCAAACAACCGAAATTGTCTAATTCAAACATTACAATACCAAATTAATTTTTTTCTTTTGTTTTTGTGATTTTTATCGTTTTAGAACTAACTGGAAACGTGATATTTATTCGTCCAGAAAACAGAAGATTTATTGCTAGTCAGTCCATAGATATAACATGTAAGGCGGAAGTGACGTACCCTACAACCAACATCACGTGGTATATAGACACTGCAGATAATAGGCTATATGAAGATATAACAACAGATATTGAGGATGGAGTATCAACAAGCAGACTAAGACTAACACTGGACAAACAACTGAATAATCACACTCTTTATTGTTCAGCTTTTAATGGTTATGGCACAGTTCAAACGGATTTTCTCAAACTGGATGTAATGTGTAAGTTCAGAATCGAAAAGTGACAATCTTTGCCTCTAGCCTAGTCAATAACCTAACATTGAAATTGCCCAACCTGAAACTAATAGACTTGTATTAGCAACATACTAAAAATATACAATAATGCAATTTGTTGAAAGAGTATTTGTAGGATGTTTTTAAGAGAAAATCGTAAAAAAGTGGACACCCCCCCCCCTTCCAACACACACAGAAAATTCGCTTTTTTATGAATTGTGAGAGAAAGCGAAATTTTATTGGAGCATGGACTTGTATTACTAAAAATATAAAAAAATAAATAATTTGTAATAAAAGGTATTTTTGGGACTGTTTTAAGAGAACATTGTAAAAAATCACCAAACCAAAAAATTGCTATTTTATCGACTTATTTGTAAAATCTATGAATTATGAGAGAAAGGTAAATAATTGATGTATTAACATCAACAGCATACTAAAATATACATACATATATAATTTGTGGTAAAGGTATTTTATGTGAAAAAGTGGAAAATCTATGAATTATTCTGAGAGAAAACCACTATGGCTAAATATATTTTCAAATTTGTCAGATTTGCCTGTGTGATCGCTTAAATCTTATTTGGAACTTAAGTATAAATTTTAGGAGACTGAATATAAATACGCGGATAGATAATTTTTATTCTGAAATATTTGTAGTTACAAGTAAACGTAACAAATAATACGTTGTTAACAGACAAAACGCAACTTTGGCTAAAGGTAAAACCTTGAACGTTTATAGAAACGACTCTTTATATTTCTTGGTGGTCCCATGGGTTAACACGTGCGTTTAATGTATATAAAACATTGATAGGTCCAGATCATTACCCCCCCCCCCCCCCCTGCCTGTGTATGTGATATAATCATACGTGTTGTGGACATGTTAGATATCAAACTAATATTTAATAATAATATTAGATATAATCATACGATGTGTTGTGGACATGTTAAATATCAAACTAATATTTAATAATAATATTTGATATAATCACACGTATTGTGGACATGTTGGATATCAAGCTAATATTTAATAATAAATAGAGAATTTCCTACGAGTCTTTTTTGATATCAAAAAAGACAAGTAAGAGATTTTATTTATCACCCAATCCTTTCTTACATGCACAAATAAAAAAAATATATAATTATTTGCTGTAGATTTCACTTTTACTGTACCAGATTACATTACGGCATAGTGATACAACATTTTTGACAGCAATTCACCCATTGCAAAGTCCTTTATATTGACCCAGTGTTTCCATCAAGGTCAACTAAATAACAATAGTTCATTTTTAATTTAAAAAAAGCTACTTTAAATAAGAAATGAACTGTTCTTTGAAAATAAAAAAGTAGTCCCTCTACAACTTACTAACCAATCAAATTCATGTAAATCAATATCTCCTAAGGAGATATCGCAGTATGAAATATATTACACCAGCGATATCTACTGTAGAATGTATTATTGGGTGATAATATTTAATATAATCACACTTGTTGTGGACATATTAGATATCAAACTAATATTTGATAATAACCTTTATGATTGCATTTATATATGCTGACGTTTTCAGATTGGAGGTGATGTTTTAATTTTAGGATTTTCAACTGTTGCTTTCATCTTTTTTTACAGATTCACCCAATATCCATATTGTAACAAAATCAACTTCCATAGCCATTGTTGAAAAAACTTCCACAATCATTGCTGAAGGGGGACAACTCTTATTGATATGTTTCGTTCAGAACGCAAACCCTCAAGTTCCACCATATGGTTATGCTTGGAGTAGAAATGGTATAAAGCTGATAGATCAAACATCAGATATATTTAAAGTGGATTCAACATCGTCGCGCGACATTGGTAACTATACCTGTACGGGTAACAATGGTATTGGAACAGGTGTATCATCACCTGTAAAAATTTATGCTGATCCGCGTGTTAACGAAGATAAGTCTGGAGTTGTCACTGGACTCGCCGTGTGTTTGGCTTTGTTTATGGTATTGTCCATTGCACTCTCCTTAATGGTCGCATATCTGATGCTAACCATTAGAAGGTCAACAATCAAAACTAAAGGTAAGGATACTAACTTATAGTTTTATCCCCTGTATCTGATATTAACCATTAGAAGGGCAACAGCCAAAACTAAGAGTAAGGAAACTGACTTATTGTATCTGATATTAACCATTATAAAGTCAACAAGTACCATTAAAGACTTGGATAATGCCTGTGTTTATGGTTCTGTCCAACGGTAAGGTTTTGGTTCTGTGTGTTGTTTTATCAACTGTATTCTCCTGTTAGTCGTATATCTCATATTGACCAGTAAAATGGTTATCGACTTAAATACCTTCGATTACTTCATATTGTATTAATCTGTTATTGTATTGAAAAGAAATATGGATTACTGTTGACGGGTAATTGTGACGTTTAATTACGGTGGACTATGTATATGCCCACTTGGACTGCCTAAAATGGAAACCCCATCTTATCCCCCAAACAATTGAAATGAAATGGAGTTTAACGTCCTACGTGTCTGCACTGACTAAGCTAATCAAGACGGGCGTACGCCATAAAGGGGAAAATTTGCCCAGAGGTCGGCACTATGCCACGCCCTCCACTTATTTCGAATACCAACTGTCAATGGTTCGTTTACGTTGGCGCCAATGAGCACACTGGACCTCAGTATTTTGTACCATCCGAACGGCTAGACACTGTCATTGTCATGCCCTCCGTCCTGAACCCACTGACAAGGGGAAGCCACGCTGGAAAATACAAACAAAAGAAAAGCAACAGACTTGTATATAATTAATGGACCATGATGTCCAATGATGCTTATATTTATAATGGACCATTACGTTCATTGCTGCTTATATTTATAATGGACAGAATAATAATCTTGGTGTGTACGAACCTTTAAACATATCTTATATAAAGCATCTTGTAGTATTCACTGTTATAATGTAATATTATGTGACTAATTTTGATCCCGATAGTGATAACACAGTTTTATTTTTTATTTTTGTTTTAGAATCCGAGGCAATAAGTAGAATCACGTGAGTAACATGATATATTGAATCTAAATCATTAATTACAATTATATAATTTTATACCCATTGAAGTAATTGTGTGCAATGTAGTATATGTACAAATATTTTAAATTTAGAATATCTGTTCTGTATTCAGTATGTTTGAAGAGAAGGAGGAGGGGCGGGGGTATCGAGCAATAATTGCTGCACAGTACAAAGTAAATAACATGTTCCATTCGTGAACCCGCCAAAACACACACTTATTAAATATGGTAGCGTAATACTACAACACAGTATTAAGTTCGGTCGTTATAAATAATAATTTACAAATATAAAAATATTATTTGGTATTTATTGTTTTTGCCCGCCATTTAAGATGGATTTTGTGACCTGTGTTACTCATGGTAGAATTGGTTTAGAGTTATGCATTAAAAATAAATCTTCTATTTTACAGACCCGTTACCTCACCCAATAATATAATTAACGGTAAGTATTATCTGTTGTAATTGGGTTGGGGTGCTGTATGGAAACTGAACACCTTAACTGAAGGTCTGTACACATTATCAACTCCTAGGTATACACAGTAAAATGTTTGTCAATATGTCGACCAACATGTTATCGAAAGAATGGAAATACAATTCTTGTTGATCAACAATTTGGTCAACATGTTACGTAGAAGTTGATAGAGTACACTCTGCTTAAGATGGGCCGTGTATTTGTTTACGGGGCAAAATGTGTGTCAATAGGCGGGCCAAAGAAAGAAAGGAAATACAATTCTTGTTGGTCAACATGTTACTGGAAAGTTGATAGTGTATACTCTGATTAAGATGGCCGGGTTGTTTATGTTTGTACAAAGACGAGAATACTCACAGGCAGTGCCGGATTAAGTCTCTGCTGGCCCTAAGGCACATTTTGATAGGTGGCCTGAAAATACAGATATTATGGGCGCATTGACAAAAGGAATTAAGTTAAATTTAGCAACAGAAAATATATTACAAACAAATTCAGAACATTGACAGTACTGTATTTACTATAAGTAGACTACATATTCCCATTCATTGCCTAGCTAGATTACAACAAACCTCACGTGTATAAAGGGACGAAACATCATGTCAACCCTTTGCCAGAGTATGGAAAGCTTTAAAGGACAAACGCGTAGATGAAGAAGGATGCAATTTATTTACATAAAAATAAAGGCAAGCATTTTTGTCACCACCTGATAATTATCAAAAACGTTTTACTTTATTATTTTGTGGCCTGGATTTTTGGCTGGCCCTAAGGCACGTGACTAATTTGCCTTATGGTTAATCCAGCACTGCTCACAGAGAGAAACAATAGGCATGTACATTAGTATTGTTAACAACACCCACTGATATGTAGATTAAGATGGGGTGGGTTGTTTTTATTTGGTACAAAGATGAGAATACTCACAAGGATAAACAATGGGCATGTAGAACAGTACTATTGAAAAAGCTGTTTGAATTCACAGCAGATATTTACATGTCATTTTGTCCTGTTATCATTGAGATTCTAAAGTGGGTTTGAATTTGATGGATACGAAATCAAACGGACGCTTTTCAAGAATACTAATTCACACATTTAAACAATAATAAAACCAGAGGGTAATTTGGGCCACTCTGTCATTCACATACTGGACTGAAGTCTGTCCTACAGCCCTTGGTTGGTAAATCACCCGGATCTAGAACACGTGACATTGATGGAACAAAAGTGAAAGTAAAAATGGATGGCGTCAGAAAGTGTTCGTATCTAGGCGTGAGCTGAGTAGAACTTTAGGAATTTTTGTGGGGTTGTCAATGAATATGTGTCTTTTCTCCTCTTTCATTGTAGAAGGTTCAAATTATGAAGGATTAGAGCTGGATACCAGAGATGACAATCAGTATACAAGTATTAATGTTGGCTTGGTTCCAGACACGTCCCCAGAACAAATACAAGAATACGATAACCAAGCTTCCGGTGAGTTGTAAATTTACGTGGCCTCGGACGTTTCTCCAATAGCTCTTTGTGATAATAAAGCCAAATAGATGTACACTCTTCTAATATAGAGTTCTGTCACATCAGAGTTTATAATTATTTACGAATTAAGGATGTAAGTTGTTCAGGCGTTATATGCTCTGGCTAATGCGGAGTTGAGGGAGAGCGAAAGCCATTTTATTGTTAAGTTCAATAGACTTATGTTGTACCTATTTATCCTGTGTGATATAAAAACGTATTTAGAAGAAAATAAATTGTAACATATGAGTCCGTGGAAAAGTCCTTTCGAAAAACAACGTAAGGGGGAGAATTATCGGATGCGAAGATGTGAAGACGGACATTGCTATCTATTTTTGGTGCCGTTTTGCAGACAGTGTAACAAATGGTCGTGTTACACATCATGTTGGTCGCAATATGTGTGTGGCGATGATTGTTAATACCATTACAAACCATAAACAAACTAAGCATAGATAAACTAAATATATTTATTAGATTACGTGTTAATTCAGTTGAATGGTTGCTACTATGGTTCTATCTTTAATAGGCTTTTTATAATAATATTTACAGATACTGCCGCTACCAAGGGAGATAACTTACTTTATGAGAACATGGAGAGGACGCAAGACTCGACGGAATAAGAATCAACATTTGGCATGAAACAGAAACTACACATAAATAGCTTAACTGTCTAAAGCATAGATTTATATTTTGGTGTTGGTTGGATGTATTGAAAGGGCTGTACATTGTAAACCAAAGCGGAAAACCTTTTAAATAGCACCCTCTGTTGTGGAGTTGTAACAATAGCCCATGGAATTTGACCCTCGCGTACCTAATAAAAGTACTGGATTTTATTATTAGTAGATTATTTTAATTTATGCCGTCCGTACTTCTATCGGATGTAAATGATTAGAACGTATACGAAAACTGATTCAGGAAAAGTCACGCAATCAATTTTATATTTAGTACGTAGTTCATTGATTGTTTTACTGTAAATACCTCAGTATTAGTTATCTTTGTGTTGTAAATTGACTTTCAAATGTGTGTCTAACCCTGATTTCATAACGTCCCCTCATTTACCCTTTAAGGTCTTAGGAACCTTTTAAATATGCATGCGTTAAGAGCTAAATCGGCCTATTAATTACAGGTCTTTATTCTGGCTTCAAAAGTTATATAGACTATTATTGAGATATTTACTCACATGGAAAGCCTATAATCAACTCTTTAGGCCATCGCATGATGGAGAAGTAAACGGATTAAACCACGGTAGCCTTTTAATGATTTAATTTGAAAATGGTGAATCGAGGCTAAGTCTAGAATAACAAGTATCGCTGTTGCGTAAATAATCAATCTATGCCACATCTTGTCAAAACTTCCAGCAGTGAAAACGTCGCTCAGAATATAATATTCATTTTGCATTACTGTTTTTGAACGTGTATAGCAAGAACGGACAGCTCTTTATCTGAATCTTACAGAATGCATCTTTAAAGCAAGGACACTCGTGATTATAGTTTTTTTTTATTCTTTGATTACTCCTTAATTAAATCAACCTGTCCATAATGTCATGTAAAATGTATTGGACGTTAAATTTGTAATAAACAACAACCTGGTTATTAAGTAGATGACTTTATTTTGTCTTTACCGGTAAGTGAAGTTATCACAGCCCTGTTTTTACTCTCTTATTTTACATTCAGCATGCATATTACTCACCCAGTATGTGCAGATAATACCCACTAGTAAACAATTCAAACTCGATAATCCCTTAATTATAAAACTTGGATTGGGGAAATGGGATAATCCCTTAATTATAAAACCTGGATTGGGGAAATGGGGTTTACACGTAAAACTATCGTTGTATTTTGCAATAGTGTGTGTTTGTTCACGAGAAGATACTTTGGACGACGAAGAGTGTAATTTTCTAAAATTTGATGGCTCTCGGGGGCTTTTTAATTTCTTGAATTTTTCATAATATTTCTCATTTTGTCACTTGTTAGTAATACTGGAAGATGGTTTTGTGTAACACTTTTAGGTTCTTTGAATCGGATTTGTATGACAACACTGGTTTAACTTCATATGATACTTGTATTGTTCTTCAAACATATCATGTACAATACTTAAGACTCCGTAATTAGTTTGTGTTAAGGGAACCATGGTCCTAACTTGGCTTCACACCCTTGGGTGCCATCTCACAACTAACCTACATGGCCCTTGTTCTAGCCTTAACCCAAGGGATCCATGGCCTTCTCTGTCTATCTTCTTTTCACAAGATTACACATATGGCTATTGCCAGGCTAAGCGTTCAGTAGAGATTGCTTTACAAGACAAAGGATATTACGTAACATTGGATGTCGATAGCTGACATAAAGATATTTTAATCAATTCCGCTTTCATGTCTCAAGATGGTACGGTAACTATCAATAACACCTGCCATTATGTGACATCTGGACAGGGTTCTATGTAGTGACCAACGGTAATTGATACCTTTGGTTCAGTTCGTATTCATGATTTGTTTTAGCATTTCTACCTAGTGTGCACAATCTTCGCGCCAGACCATATTAGATATTTCGGTTTGTATGTGACGGGTCATAGGGTGAGAAATCAAGATAATGTTGGGTATCTACAAGTTTCAATCTGAATATCACCTAACAATATATTATGTCATATCCCGACAATTCATTTTGTTCCAATCTGATTAAAACTATTTCATTCCCTTTTTATAGTTCAAAATTTCGTTTTACTTGCTTTTACTACACTGGGATCTGGAAGAGTTGTTATATAACCCGCGTTCTCGTTGATGTGAGGGATTAGCCAATGAAACGGTCTGTTACAGCACGTTGTTGTAGTGCGATGCATGGAACTGTGGGTATCCTACTAGAAACCCCAACGCTGATTGGTTAATTGATGTCTGAAGTCATAGGGTCAAAAGCTGCTCGTATGAACCCTGACGCGACCCCCCAGTGCAACTGGTCAGATCTTCATGTAGCAGGGTCCATTGAAAGTATAAAAAACGAAACGAAATAAGATCTGTGTTTTAATCAGATTGATTCTTTCAATAGTGAATTGGATACAGGAATGTGATTCAAATAGATATAGTTAAACATTTCATGGAGGATGCTGATTGGCGATTTACTTTGTTTAAGGTCCAAAAACATCTTCCATCATAGTTGGATGTAAGAACCAAAGTTTGTGTCAAATCTAAAATTAATCTCATACCAAATCTCTTCTTTTAAATTATTCAAATTTGATGGTGTATGACATAGAACCCTTTCTTACAGTTTAGCCTTTAATTGTGCGTCGAAATCAAAAGATCCTTTCTGCACTTTCAATTATGAAAACAATTTAATATATATGTGGCTATATTGAGTGACATAAGCTGATGTCGTTAAATGCATTTAAATTGTCTTTTTACTCGATCTAATAATTCATTCAAACATAGCAAAATAGGATAATACTTCTTGTTTTGCTATAAAATTCTTTTGTTGATATTCAGTTGTTTCTTATGCAAGAATGGTTTTGTTTGGTATTTCTAATCGGATAGTACCAGACAAACAAGAAACGTTAGCAACACTAATCTGTTTCTGTTTATAATTTTAATCAGTGATAATAGACAACTTTGACGTATTAAATTGTTTATTTTGAGATAAGCATCCAATAACACGCGCCTTAATCTTACGTTTTTAGAGAGAATTGTTAACCAATTGAAAAGTAATTCTGAAAATTCATTAATTCGATCAAAAACTTTCTTTTGATTCAGTGATAAGATGTTTACACTAGCTTTATTTGTATGAAGCAAGGAAAACACAATATTTTAAGATAAGAATCTTAATACACCAATTCGATGTGTTTATGTAGTTTCAAGAGATTAAGAACACTTGAATATAGATTAAAATTTTAATTAGATCTGTTTGCTGTCTATGTTTTACAGATTAAATAAAGACTGTGTTGCTATTATTAATTATTATTATTGTGGGGAGTCTTGTGGTCAACAAAGGATCCGAGGCTTACTGGTCGATAGTTGAAAAAAGTTCACTCGCTAACATTGATCTAAAATTCAGTTATTTCACCTTTCTAAAGATATGGTCTAGAACGCCCTCTCCTAATTATGTTCCCTATAATTATAGCTTTAGCGACAAATGGCTAACCACAAAGTACTACAAAATTTCCAGCATGTTATCTCCTTGTCAGTGGTGTAGGACAGGTCGGACGTAAACCCGAAATCTGTGTACTAGTTGGCGTGCACGTAAAATAAGCTTTGACAGTTGGAATTCGAAATAAGACTAGGGTGTAGCATTTTCCTTCATATCACATTGCATGACGTATGTCCGTCTTCATTGGGCCGGTTGGTATATTCGTTAAACGCATTTCCTTTCATTGGTAGGTCTATGGTATTGCACACTACATTCAATACATATGTCGTAAAAAGTCGACGATCCGTTTTCGGGAAGAAAATGATTCATCTATCTACAACGTATAGGAGCGACGTGAAGTTAGTTTGTTGTTCGTTATTCGCGAACAACTAACAACGAGCCAGTTTGTTGTTCGGTATTCGCGAACAACGAGCCCGTTTGTTATTCGTTATTCCCCAGATATGGACTTAGTAATATAATAAAGGCACGTTTATAGGGAAAACGACGGGGTTGGGGGTGGTTTTTTATGAGCCTAATTGGAAAATAGATTCTAACAGCATGTCTTTCATACCGAACAGTGAACTGCTTCACATTTTGCGAATAACGAACAACGAGCTAATATAAAAAAACTCCCGGCGTATTCCCTATATAAGTATCTCTATAATATTACTAATTCCATATCTGGCGAATAACGAACAACCAACAAGCTCGTTGCTCGTTATTCGCGAATACCGAACAAACTGTTTGTTATTCGCCAATATGAAACTACTCCCTGTTCGGGAAGAACGACATGTTTTTTAGAATCGATTTCCCAAAATATTAAAGAGTTATTAACCGATTAAGCTCATAAAAACCTATTCCCGGCGTATTCCCTATAACATTTCTGTATTATATTACTAACCATATATGGTGAATAACGAACAACAAACTGGTTCGTTGTTCGTTATTCACCAATATGAAACAGCTCGTTGTTCGAGAGGGAAGACATAATTAGAATCTATTTCCAAAGACTCCGTAGTTTTATAGACCAATTAGGCTAATAAAAACCTACTCCCGGCGAATTCCTTATAAAAGTATCTTTATTATATTGCTAATTCCATATCTGGTGAATACCGAAAAAACAACTAGCTCGTTGTTCGTTATTCGCAAATACCGAACAACAAACTGGCTCGGTGTTCGTTATTCACCAATATGAAACAGCTCTTGTTCAGGTAGAAAAACAGGTTGTTAGAACCTATTTCCCAAGACTTTGAAGTTTTATAAACCAATTAGGCCAATAAAAACCCACTCACGGCGTATTCCATATTATATTCCCTTTATTACATTACTAATTCCATATCTGGTGAATAACGAACAATGAGCCACTAAAATGAAATGGCTATTAATTTTCGACTTTTGTACAGGAATCAGGCTAATAAAGACGTCATGCATTATGCCAAGTGGAATACTTTACGGCCAACACCGAAGGCGAACACGCAAACTCGTTGTTAGCGAGCCAGTGCTTTAATCCATGACCCACTGATGTGACTGGGAGTTCTGGAAATAAATAAGTAGCTGAAATGGGATATTAGGCATATTCCGAATTCCAGCTTATTTTACGTGCACGCCAACTCGTATGTGGGGATCTCGCGTGTTAGCTCCATCCGCCCTGTACCTCTGAGAGGGGTTCACTAGTTCGCGGGTTTACTACTCCGCCGCTATATGAAATACTATAAATATGGGTATCAAAAGACCTGATCCGAACCCTAACCCTAATAATAGATATCGGTGGACTAATGAACCCGAGGACTAGTGCACCTTAACCCTACCCCAATCCCTAATAATAGATATCGGTGGACTGACGATACTGCGGACTAGTGAGCATTCGCCGCACCACTGACAGCGGGACAACACGCTGGAAAGTTTGTAGTAGGTATTCGGCCAAGACCGGGATCGTACACGGGAACATCAAAATGTTAGATTACAGTAAATTGTAGCCACATGGTATAACAATCAACAACCAAATAACACACTTCTATGAAATAATAATTACTATGGCTTATTACGCTGCGACGTTGGAACAAAATGTCATGGTGATTAATAAAAAAATGCCTTATTTGATTATATGTCCCTTTTACTAAATGCCATTCAAAGAACAATTAACAACCCTCGGGAGCCATAAAAAACGTTACTTTCCGTAAGAATTGGTCCAAGGTAAGACCGCGTCTGGCACACAGGGTGTAGTCGGCGACAAACAGTGTAAGCACTAATTGATAAACCCAAAGTAGAAGCAGTACTCGAAGCTTGCTCTCAAGCAGATGTTTCCAGATATTGTGCCGGCCTTGTCGAGGCGTTATCGTCCAGGCGTCGGTTGGTTTCAAGTGGACCTGACTGCAGGTCTGTGCAAGGTAATGAGCGGGTACTATTAATAGAAGTAATGTGGGCTAAAGTCGCTTTTCGGGACCATCCGATATTCTGGGCCCTGAAACGTAAGCTTAATAGTAG